GATCAGTTCGGCAAGGTCATCCTGGCTGGGTTGCATGAGTGATTCAGGGTCCGTTTTACTGGCCGGTGATGCGGCTCGCTATCCGAATGCAAGCTTATATAGGGATCACACGATAAGGACACGTAAATCTGGGGTCGGTGCATGGAACACCGTAACACGCTCGTTCGGATTTACTTGATCCGGTACCGACATGTTCGCATACGAGCCTGACGCCAGGCGCGAGAAGCCGGGAACGCGCAAGAAATCCGGATACTGACCGGTCCGTCCATGTCAGTCTGATCAGACGTCATCCTTGGCAGCCGAAACCCTGAGCTGGTGCAGCAGGGCTGCCAGCGAGTCTTCCGACAGGACACTGATCTTGATTGACAACTGGTTGGCAAGCTCCGTCGCTTTCGGGTGCATGCCGGCTGTGTCTATGGTGATCCTTGGATCCGACAGTTCCGCCAGGCGCTGGATTTCCTCTGCTTCATCCCAGATCACGTTGAAATAGGTGATAATCCTCTGCACGAGGAACCAGGTCGGTTTGCCTCGTTTGCCATGTTCAAGCGCGGAAAGATACGCGCTGGAAACCGAGAGTGCGGCGGCCATCTCCTTCAGCGATACGTCGCGCTTTGCTCTGAGTTCCCGAATTTTTGCCCCAAGCGGTGTCACGGTCCTACCTTCTTTTTCGTATCCGGACGTAGAGCGCCCCTGCTCCACCGTGGCTGGCATGTGCTTCTTCATACCCCAGCACTACCGAACGAACATCCGGCATGGACAGCCACTGAGGGACCATTCTGCGCAAAATCCCGCGTTCGTCCATATACGCTCTTTCGGGACCGCCCCCTTTGCCCGTAATAACCAGCACGACCTTGTGCCCGCGGGCCTGAGCTTGATAGAGAAATCCCAGCAATCGATCGTGAGCCTGATACTGCGTCAGTCCGTGTAAATCGACGCGGGCATCGATCGCCGTCACACCGCGGACGATTTTTCTTCTGTACCGGGTCTCGAGCTGGTTCAGGGGTAAAACAGAAGGTGTCTTTCTGGTCGGATCGGGTGCCTTGATCGCTGTTGCGGTCTTCGGACTTTTCGCCGTCTTCGGCGGTTCAGCCTCCAGTGCCCGTGCCAGTTCTTCTTCAAGATCCTGGGCCCGCTCGGGATGGAGCGGTGTCAGCGTTTTCGCAACCTTGCCCCAAAGCTCCCGGTCTTCAGGAGACAGACTGCCCTTTTTCCCCCGTCTCGCCATGGATCAGTCTGCCGCCGCCTTTGTTTCCTGACGCCCCGGATGTGGCAGGAGGACGGTGAATTGTGCGGCGTGGCGGATACGCCCGGCGATATCTCCGGACAGGTTTCCCGATCCCACGAAAATATCGCCACGCGCCTTGCCCTTGATCGCCGAGCCGGTATCGTCTGCGACCATCAGTCTGGAAAAAGACCTGCCTTCAGCATCCAAATCCGGCAAATCCGTCTGAAGAAAAACGAGCGCGCCATAGGGAATGTGGTCAGGATCGATCGCGAGGCTGCGTCCGGGAACAAGCGGCAGCCCGGCGGCGCCGATGGGTCCTTCGGACGGTAGCGTGTCGGTGACCTCGCGAAAGAAAATATAGGACCGGTTCTCTCTGAAAAGGGCGTCTCGCTTGTCCGGGTTATTCACGAGCCAGGAACGCAGACCCGTCATGGTGAAGTCTTCAGGTGTTCCCTTGCCGCGCTTGACCAGCAGCCGTCCGATTCCCGTGTAGGGATGGCCGGTCTTGCCCGCATAGCCGACGCGCATCACTGAGCCGTCGGTCATTCGGAGCCGCGCCGATCCCTGTACGTGAATGAAATAGGCATCAATCGGGTCGGCAAGCCAGGCCAGTTCCAGGCCTTCGCCGTCGAGCGCGCCGTCCATGATTGCCGGCCTGTCGGGCATTTCTTCAAAACGGCTGTTTGCACGGCGTCCATGACTGAGATGAGATGGCCAGTCATCCGGTTTGTTTTCCGGCGTGATCGCCTCAAGTCCCGCAGGTTTCCCGTGAAGCGGAACGTCAAAGCCATCGGTTTTTTTGCGGGAGGCGGCCACTTCGGGTTCGAAATATCCGGTAACGAAACCGGGCACGGTCACGCGGTAAGGCCTGAAATTCGTTTCCAAGAACCGGCGTGCCTCTGTTTCTGTGTTGATTGGTTCGCGATTTGCGCTCAAACAAAGGCTGCGGATCTCGTCGAGACCGTAGTTCATCGGCAGTGTCGGATCCCTTGGGTCTTCATGCCTGGAACAAAACCGCAGAAAACCGTTCAGTGCCGCCAGGTGGTCGTCTTGATGCCAACCTGTCAGGTCCGAATAGGCAGTTTCCTCAAGATGATCGGGAATCTTTGGGCTTTGAGGCATGGCCGATCCGGCTCCCGCAAGGAAAAGCGGCGCGGCCAGAACCGCGCCCTTCAAGCTTAAGCAGACCAGAGGCAAGACAATCACCCCTGTCAGCCGATCCATCCACGTCATCGTCACTCGGCGGATTCGGTCGCAACCAGTTTCCAGTTGGGATCGCGGGACATCGTGTCGCGCGCGAAGGTCCAGATATCGACCACTTCGGTCACCTTGGCCGGATCCCCGTCGACAACCTCGCCTTCCTTGTCGCGGGTTGCGGAAATCAACTGGCTGTGGATCTTGACGGTAACCTGAGCCGTGGAGTTCTTCAGCGCTGCCTCGACGATTTCAGCCTTGTCGATGCCGACAAAGGTTGATTCGATTGTTTCGCCGCGTTTTTCCCGGTCCTCGATCGCGCCGACAAAGCCTTCGTAGACGTCGCTGGACAGAAGATTCTTGAGAGCCTTCTTGTCGCCGTCCGCGAACGCCATCACGATCATTTCGTAGGCGGCGCGTGCGCCCTGCAGAAATTCCTGGGGTTCGAAACTCCGGTCCACTGAAAGAATCTGTTTCAATGCGCTGTTGAGAGCGGACCCTTCCGGCGCAACCTTGTCGATCACCACATCGCCACCCTGAGCCGATTCCTGTGACATTTCTGCCGGTTGGTCGGTCTGGTTCGGAAGCGGGATGACGTTGTCCTGGCCGTTGGTCTGCTCATTCGGCTGCTCCGGTTTGGAGTAGGGATCGAAAGGCGGGCGCTCATTGCCGGTACGTTTGCCCAGGACAGATCTCAGTCTGAACAGAATAAAAACCGCTAGTCCCAACAGGAGGAGGTTTAGTGGGTCGAAAATTTCATTCATCTTACGTTCCGGCTACCCTTTGGAGGCACATCAAGCCGCCTCTTGCATGTTCAGCTGCGTGCTGCCCGCGTTCAGTGTCTGCTACCTACCTATTTAGGGGCTTCTTGAACCAGCATCCAGACCCGGGGGCAAGTCTGAAATTTTTGCAATGATTATCTTTCCTGCGCGCGCCTGCTCGCATTTTTGTGAGCGAATGTCTAGGTTATATCCAAATAACTTATCAGACCATGGAGGTCCCGTGGGACTTTATATCATCGCCGCCATCATTTTGCTGCCCCTGATTGAGATTGCTGTCTTTATCTGGGTGGGTGGTCTGATTGGCGTATTGCCGACAATTCTGCTGACAATCATCACTGCTCTTGCCGGCACGGTCATGCTGCGCCAGCAGGGACTGTCGTTGCTCACCCGCATGCAGAGCGAACTGGACGCCGGACGCGCCCCCGGAAGCGAGGTCATGCAAGGCGCGATGATCGTTCTTGCCAGTATTTTCCTTCTGATTCCGGGGTTTGTAACCGACGCAATCGGTTTGCTTTTGTTCATCCCTCCGGTGCGGCAGGCGCTTGCAAACTTCATCATTGCCCGCTCCAACGTCGTGATCGTGCAGGGTGGCCAGACTGGACAGGGTGGCGGAAGACCCGACGATCATGTGGTCGATCTGGACCAGCAGGACTGGTCAGAGAAGCAGGATGGTTCGTCCGAGGGTTCGTCCGGCAGCGATCGGCCCAGAATCAGTCCGTGGCAGGATGGCTCGAATGACGCGAAGCCTTAACCCTGTTTGAAAGTCACTAAAACGTGACACCGGCTGTATGCGTAAAATTTACCAGTGCAGGTTAGGTCTGTGCCTTGGTCTGCGGTGAAAACCGCTTGGAACGGAAGGTGCAAACCATGGGTGCTGGGCGCGTTGACTGGGTCGATACGGCCAAGGGCATCTGCATCATCTTCGTCGTGATGATGCATTCGGTGCTGGGCGTTGAGGCCGCGGCCGGCGAAACCGGTTGGATGCATGTCGTCGTTGCCTTTGCGGCACCTTTCCGGATGCCGGACTTTTTCCTGATCTCCGGCCTGTTCCTGTCCAATGTCATCGCGCGTGACTGGAAACTCTATCTTGATCGCAAGGTCGTTCACTTCGCCTATTTTTACGTGCTCTGGATGACGATTCAGTTCGCGGTCAAGGCCCCGGTCTTCATGGGGGACATGGGCGCCATGGGAACTCTGGAGTTCTATCTCCTGAGCTTTGTTCAGCCCTTCGGCACGCTCTGGTTCATCTACATGCTGCCGGTGTTCTTCGTGGTCTGCAAGCTGGCCCATGACAACCGCATTCCCTGGCAGGTGATGCTGGCATTCGGCGCTGTTCTTCAGGTCGCACCGATCCATACCGGCTGGCTTCTTGTCGATGAATTCGCCTCGCGTTTCGTCTATTTCTATGCCGGTTACATCTTCGCACCACAGATCTTCAGGCTTGCCGCCTGGGCGCGTGAACGCATCGGCGTCAGCCTTGCCTATCTGGTCGGCTGGGGCCTGGTAAACGGCGGTCTGGTTTATTTCGGCTGGGCCCATCTGCCGGTTATCGCGCTTGCTCTCGGTGCGGCGGGTGCAGGTGCAATCATCCTGACCAGCGCACTGATCGTAAACTCGGGCCAGCTCGGCTTCCTGCGCCATTTCGGCGCGAATTCCATCGTCATCTATCTGGCCTTCTTCTTCCCGATGGGCGTTACCCGCGTGATCCTTTTGAAACTTGGATTTCTTGACATCGGCACCGTTTCGCTGATCGTCACGATCGTTGCTTCCGTCAGCCCGATGATCCTGTTCTGGATGATTCGGAAAACAAACCTCGGCTGGTTCCTGTTCAAGCGACCCGAATGGGCCCATCTCACCGGGACCTTTGGCAGGAAAAGACAGCCGCAGGCTGCCGAGTGACAGGAGTAGTCGGGAAATTTTGTCTTTAGGACTTTTCTCGAGGTGCTGGTCCGGGCATGATCCGCGCCATGTCGACGCAAGATTCAATCCCCGCTCTCACCGCTGACGACCATCTCATTCTGGTCGACGGCTCCACTTTCATCTTCCGTGCCTACCATGCGCTGCCGCCGTTGACGCGCAAGCCCGACGGACTGCCGGTCGGCGCGGTTTCCGGTTTCTGCAACATGCTCTGGAAGTTGCTGCAGGAAGGCCTGACGCCGGAAGAAGGGGATGAGCCGACCCACTTCGCGGTGATTTTCGATCATTCCTCCAAAACGTTCCGGAACACAATCTATCCGGAATACAAGGCGAACCGTCCGGATCCGCCCGAGGATCTGGTGCCGCAATTCGGACTGATCCGTGAGGCGACCCGTGCCTTTTCGGTCCCCTGTGTCGAGCAGGAAGGGTTCGAGGCCGATGACCTGATCGCAACCTATGCCCGCCAGGCGGCGGAACAGGGTGCGAAAGTGACGATCGTTTCGGGCGACAAGGACCTGATGCAGCTGATCGGTCCGAAAGTCGGGATGATCGACACGATGAAGAACAAGGTCTTCGGCGAACCGGAAGTTTTTGAGAAATTCGGCGTCGGTCCGGACAAGGTCATCGAAGTGCAGTCGCTCGCCGGCGACAGCGTTGACAATGTCCCCGGCGTTCCGGGTATCGGCCTGAAGACGGCGGCCCTCCTGATCAACGAGTTCGGGGATCTTGAATCGCTGCTTGCCCAGGCGGAAACCATCAAGCAGAACAAGCGCCGGGAAAACCTGATCGAATTCGCTGATCAGGCGCGCGTTTCAAGGGAACTTGTGACGTTGAAGCAGGACGTTCCGGTCGAGGTTCCCGTCGCAAGCCTGACGGTGACAGATGTCGACGGTGCGAAGGCGGTCGGATTTCTGAAGGCCATGGGTTTTAGCACGCTCACCAAGCGTGTCGCTGAAGAGACCGGCGCCGAAGTTGACGCCGTTGAACCAGCCGATTTCCAGGTGCCGGGTTGGGATGTGCCCGATCACAAGGGCCGCATGGCCGAGCGCACGGAAGCCGCGTCCGGTGCGGCCGCGGCTGCCGGTGAGGGCGCCGGCACCGAAGGCATGATGGTACCGCAGACCGTCGCCGAGGCACGCGCTGAAACCATCAGGGCGATTGCGGTTGACTCAAGCGCCTATGAAACCGTCACAAGCGTCGAGCGGTTGCAGGAATGGTGCGACGCTGCCATCGAAAAGGGCTATGTCGCCTTCGACACCGAAACCACGTCGCTTGATGCCATGCAGGCCGATCTCGTCGGGCTGTCGCTGTCGACCGAACCGGGACAGGCCTGCTATGTGCCACTCGCCCATGTCGATGGTGAAGGCGACCTTCTGGGTGGCGGCGGTTTGCTTCCCGATCAGATTCCGCTCAAGGATGCCATGGAAGTCCTGAAGCCGATGCTGGAAGACCGCTCGGTTCTGAAAATCGCGCAGAACCTCAAATACGACTGGCTGGTGATGACCCGCTACGGCATCGATATCGCCCCTTATGACGATACGATGCTGCTGTCCTACACGGTCGACGCGGGCAAGGGCGGCAACGGCATGGACGAGCTTTCCGAACGCTGGCTCGGCCACAAACCGATCCCCTTCAAGGAAGTCTGCGGTTCCGGTAAATCGATGATCACTTTCGACAAGGTGGCGATCGACAGGGCGACGGCCTATGCCGCCGAGGATGCGGATGTCACCCTGCGGCTGTGGCAGATCCTGAAGCCACGTCTTGCCAGCGACCATATGGCAACCGTCTACGAAACCCTGGAACGGCCGATGGTGCCGGTTCTGGCGCGCATGGAAAAGCGCGGCATTTCCGTTGACAGGCAGATGCTGTCGCGGCTTTCCGGTGATTTTGCCCAAGGCATGGCCGGACTGGAATCTGAGATCTACGAACTGGCGGGTGAAACCTTCAATATCGGATCACCCAAGCAGCTGGGTGAAATTCTGTTCGGCAAGATGGGCATTCCCGGCGGCAAGAAAACCAAGACCGGCGCCTGGTCAACATCGGCCCAGGTGCTGGAGGACCTGGCCGCGGAAGGTCATGAACTGCCGTCGAAAATCGTCGCATGGCGTCAACTTTCCAAGCTGAAGTCGACCTATTCCGATGCGCTTCCCGGCTACATCAATCCCGAAACAGGCAGGGTTCATACCTCTTATGCGCTCGCCGCGACGACGACGGGCCGCCTGTCCTCCTCCGAGCCGAACCTGCAGAACATTCCGGTCAGGACGGAAGCGGGCCGCAAGATTCGCCAGGCCTTCATCGCGGAAAAGGGTCACAAGCTCGTCAGCGCCGATTACAGCCAGATCGAGCTGCGCGTGCTCGCTCACATGGCCGATATTCCGCAGCTGAAGAAAGCATTCGAGGATGGGCTCGACATTCATGCCATGACGGCAAGCGAAATGTTCGGAACGCCGATCGAGGGCATGGACCCCATGGTCCGCCGTCAGGCCAAGGCGATCAATTTCGGCATTATCTACGGCATTTCCGCGTTCGGGCTTGCCAATCAGCTCGGCATCTCGCGCGGAGAGGCCGGCGATTACATCAAGACCTATTTCGAACGCTTCCCGGGCATCAAGGACTATATGGAGACCATCAAGAAACAGGTTCATGCGGATGGCTTCGTCACCACGATATTCGGACGCAAGGCCCATTACCCCGAGGTGAATACAAAGAACCCCAACCATCGTGCGTTCTATGAACGGGCAGCGATCAACGCTCCGATCCAGGGCTCCGCCGCCGACATACTCCGTCGCGCCATGGTGCGCATGGAGGAGCGGCTCTCGGACGCGAAGCTGGACGCGCAGATGCTGTTGCAGGTTCACGACGAACTTATCTTCGAAGTGCCGGATGCCCAGGTCGACGCAACATTGCCCGTCATCCGGGACGTCATGGAGAACGCCTGCGACCCGGCCCTGAAACTGACGGTCCCGCTGCAGGTCGACGCCCGCGCCGCCGGCAACTGGGACGAGGCGCATTAGGTCAGTTCCCGCGCGAGATCTGGTCAGTTCCTGCAGGCAATTGAGTCGAGCAGTCCCGCCGACAGGTTTGCCACAATCTCGGGCTTGCCGAGATGGGCGGTGCTTTTCATTGAAAGCAGGACGTCGCTCATGCTGTCGGTCAGCTCCGCGCGCTCGATCGGGGAAAGGTCGGTCGACGAAAAGGTGTCCCGGCCTGATCTCAGGCTGACACCAAGCGGCCGCTCGAGACAGGTGAAATCCAGGAGTGCCAGATCGAGGCGGAGCATCTCCCCGCCATTCGCAAGGCGCAAATTGACATGCAGTGAGGCCGGATCGAAGACGATCTGCCAGCGTGTCGACGGATTGGCCAGATCCTCCAGAACGTTGAAGGCCTGCGCGGACGTGAAGATGGAGTTCGTCTGGGTGACTGCTGCTGCGCGCCTGAACCGGTCGAGACTCCCCGCACTCTCCGGTGTGCTGTTCGTACCAACGGACGTCCGGATATGCCGGAGCGCTTTTTCATAGGTCGTGTTTGTCAGTGCCGGGACTGGAACGTCATTGCCCCTGTGCACGGTGAGTCCGGTTGCTGTTGGCGTCACAATAGCGGCGGACCCACTCGCATCGAACAGGAAATAGTGAATGGGAACAAGACCCTGAACAGTAATCAAGTTCAGTTGTGACAAGGCCTCTTCGACCGAGGCCGATGTGTCGAGAAGTCTTTGGATGAATTCCAGTTCGGAAACGACCGGAGCGCCGCTGTTCCCCGAATAGACAGCTTCGCTGTTCCACATGAGCGTGATGACGAGGCCTTTGGTGTTCATCCCGGCCGCCGGCATGCCGGGTCCGATCTGATTGACGGTGACACTGCCGAAACGTGAAACCCAGCGGGCCGCTGTTCCGCCCATGACGGAGCGCTTCGAGGCGTCCGGCGGGTTGATCAGCACAAATCCAGCATCCGTTGCTTCAAAATCGAAATTGTAGGCAAGGAGAGGGTTTGTTTGATTTGTGAACGCCACCGTCGAGCAGGCGATTGCTGCAGAAACGGAAAAAAACGTAAAGACACAGATACCCAGACGCAGGGCAGATGGCCAGTTGTGAAACGATCGGATGCCTCGCATGGTTTCCTCGCGGCAGATGGATTAAACTGAGGAGACCATGGGTGTCAGAAACACCTGTCAATCCAAGGAGTGTTTCGCCAGGTGCAGAAATATTTCGCCAAGAACACTGCCGCAATCCGTTTTCTGCATGCGGGTGTCGCGCCATTCAGTTCAAGAAACGGACTTGCCCTTCTGGCAGCGTTGTCGGTTCTTGCCGGCGTGATCGGCCCCTTCGGGACCTATGCTGACTTTCCGATCATGACCCGATTGGTCTACTGGACGGTCATGGTGCTTGGCACGGCATCGGTCGGACACGCCGCGGCAACGTCCCTTGAGCGGCTTTTCGGCAGAACCCGTTGGCCGGCATTGGTTCAACAGGGGATAATTTCCATCCTCGTCGCCGTTCCCGTCAGCCTGAGTGTCGCGTTGATCAGCACGGGGCTGGGATTCGGTAGTTTCAGCGGAAACATGGTGTCGCTCTATCTGCAATGCGCCGCGGTCACGGGGTTTGTCATGATTGTGAGCAACCTGCTGCCGTCGGCGGTTAAATCTGAACCGGCATCATCGCTGCCGGAAGTCCCGGCACTGCTCGTGAAGTTGCCCTTGGCGAAACGTGGCCGAATTCTGCGACTAAGGGCTCAGGATCATTATGTCGAAGTCGTCACGGAAAGCGGCAGCACGCTTTTGGCGATGCGGTTCAGGGATGCCATTGCTCAGGCAGCTCCCGAACCCGGTCTGCAAATTCACCGTTCGCACTGGGTCGCGCTGCATGCGGTGGCCGGGCGTTGCCGAATGGACAAGCGCTCCGGCCTCCGCCTTTCAGACGGAAGTTTTGTTCCCGTTGGCAGGTCCTTTCAAGCGGCGGTCAAAAGGGTCGTTTCAACCGGATCCTGAACGGAGCCCTTCTGGCTCAGACCATCGCCATGACCCGGGACGGGCCGCCAGTCCCACCGCGGAATTTCGGAGCACCGACGATGAGGGTTGCGCCGCTGGCCGGGAGCAAGTCGAGATTGGCGATGCACTCGATACCCCAGCGATTGCTGGGTAACCAGGCATAGTGAACGGCAAAGTCCTGGGATTTGCCGTAGTCGAGCGATAGCGTATCGACGGCCATACCGACGACATTTGCGTCTTCCATCAGCATTTGCGCTGCTTCCAGATGAAATCCGGGGAAGTGCATGACGCCGTCTGCGTCGGCATTGCGGAACTTGTCCGTCGGCACCTGAACACCCCAGCCGGAGTTCATGGCGACACAGGCCCCTTCGGGGATGTCGCCATTGGCGGCAATCCAGGCCTTGAGGTCGTCCGGCGTCACCTGCGCATCCGCACTCTCCGTGGCCTTTGACTTGATGTCGACAATGCACAGCGGGGCCACCAGCTTTTCAACCGGGATTTCGGCGACTGATTGCCCGTCTTCAGAGAAGTGCAACGGCGCGTCCATATGAGTGCCGGTATGCTCATTGATGCTTAAGTTATAGAGATTGAAGCCGTTTTTGGCGAAGTCGAAGATCTTCTCCTTGAAGAACTGCTGATCGCCGCCATAGGTCGGAAAGGTCTCGTAGAGCTCGTGGGTCATGTCCGTGACCTTTGAGGGAGCCTGCGCCATTGCCGGCATTGCACCACTCGCTGCGACGGACGCCGCAACACCGGCACCAACCGCTGTTGCCTTGAAAAAATCCCGCCGCGACAGCATTCGGTTCTTCACGGAATTGATGACGCATAAATCACACATGACAGCTCCTTCCAACGTTTACCCGCAAGAATGCTGCCCTGTGCCCCGTAAAAATACCAGTCAAAAAATACGGGCCTTCAGACCGTGATCTGGATCATGCTTGAAAGGAAGCGCCGGTATTGTCACCTGTGCGGGCTTCACACGACCCGCAAATCAGGCTGGTTCTTGCCGGCGAGCGCGGAGCGGGGCGCAATGGCGTTCTTGAGCAGTTCGCTGAGGTGTTCTTCCAGATAATCGACGATCGGCGACTGTGCCTTGGACGGCGTATAAATCGCCAGTTGCGTGGCGGGAAGCGCAGGAAAACCGTCCTGTTCCTTGAGCAGCGTGAAGCCTTCCTGAATTGCTCCGGACGGCAGACAGCAGATACCGGCACCGGAAGTCACGGCCACCTGGGCGGCGGCGACACTTGTCGTCGTGATCCGTTCGTACCATTGGCGTCCGGCACTGGCGAGTGCGCGAAAAGTGAGTTCACGGAACGGACAGGGTTCCGGAAAGAGGATCAGCGGCAGCGGATCGCTCAGGGAGCAGTCTTCGCTGACGGCCCAGTGAAGCTGCTCCTCGACAACGCCCGCGGGTTCCGGTTTTGCCGGTGTGACCAGCGCGATGGCAAGGTTGATCTCGTTGTTGGAGAGCATGTCGTGCAATGTGGCACTGTCGGCGACCGTCATCTCAAGTTTGACGTTGGGATGAATGCGGACAAAATTGCAGAAGATCGACTGAAGCTGCCCGGTTGCGAACCATTCCGGCAAGCCGACATGAACGGTTCCTGTGAGTTCGGGAGCTGACAGCCTCAACCGGGCTTCTTCGTGCGACTTCAGTATTTCCGTCGCGTGCTGAAAAAGAATTCGACCCGCCGGCGTCAGGTTCATCGTGCGCGCGGTCCGCTCGATCAATGGTTTGCCGACCCGCTCTTCCAGACGTCGGAGTTGGGTGCTTACGCAAGGCTGGGTGCGGTTCAGCTTGCTGCCGGCATGGGTCACGTTGCCGGCTTCCGCTACAGCAACGAAGGCTTCCAGCAATTCGATATTAAAACGGCCGATGGTCATTGTCTGTCATCCCGCCTTAACGCCGGCCAGCAGACACCCGCCAGCCTCTTTTTTTGGACAAGTCCGTGACCGGGAGCATAACGTTCTATTATGAGGTTCTTCAATTATAAATTTTATATATGGGGCAATATCACGTAATCCGGGAATTCCTCTTGTCAAAACGGGTATCGCCATGACTCTCGCGTTTACAGTCGACCAGCCAGATCTTGAAATTGAGGTATCGCCCGCGGGCTCTTTGCAATCCAGAGTGCACCGGGCCATCGCATCCCACACGGAATTCAGTCTCGACCGCATCGTTACGCAGGACAATCGGGTCAAATACACCAACAAGGGCCGGGACCTTGAGACGACGGGGCATCTGGATGAGGTGTTCCGGTTGATGCGCGAGCTGAACGAGGCCGGCGTGGGTTCCGACACGCTGGGGCGCCTGCAGGCCGATGGCCAATCCTTCAAGGATGCTCTCAGTCGGAGTTGCGCGCAGATTGCCTCGGAATTCGGTGACAAGCCGCTGATCTATGTCGAACTGGGGCCCGAGCCGGTGAAAACAGGATTTATCCTGAAAACACTCCAGAAGCTTGGCGTTGTAATTGACCGGTACATTGCCGTTGATATCAATCCGATGTCGGTTGCTCACATGCGGACTGCTCTCGAAGAGGCGTTGCCCGGGGTACCCCTGCAGTTCGTGACCTGTTCATTCGATGAGTTCCGCCTGAGCGAGGTGGTTGAAGACAACGCGCCGCCGGCTGTCATTACCATGCTGGGATTTCAGGAAGGCAACGACGACCCTTTTGTTGTCAACGAATGGCTCCGGGACATTGCCAGACCCGGCGATCTGCTCTTGTCGGAGAGCCAGCTCTACACGAAACATTTCACCGAAAAGATACCCTACTTCTATGCCCATCCGGCAATGCAGCGGTTTTCCAGAATTGCCTTCGAGCAGTCGGTTGATCGCGCTCTTCCGACGCTGAACCGGTTCTTTCTCCTGCCCGTGCCGTTTCAGGAGAATGAAACGACGCATGTCGCCATATTGGGAGAGGAATTTTCAAGTACAATCAATGGAAGAAACTTGCACGTGTCCAACTTCTGCCTGAAACTCACTCTTGAACAATATCGCCTCTACAGGGAGCATGGCGGATTTTTCAGGATTACCGGCGAGACCTTTACCGATGACGAGACACTTCACTTCCAGCTCTCCCGCCGGGCATGAAAATGGGATGAAAACCCGCGGCCTTACGGTTGCGGGGCTGGCGATCGTCGCGGCGACCTATGGCCTGGCCAGGTACTGCTTCGGCTTGTTTCTTCCCGAGTTCCGCCAGGAATTCAATCTGTCGACTGAAACCATCGGCCTCATTGCAGGGCTGTCCTATGCCGGCTACCTCATGGCAACCTTTCTCGGGTCCGGCCTGTCGACCCTGTTCGGCCCGAGATTGCCAATCATGCTTGGCGGTCTGGCCGCCGCGTCCGGAATGGCGACGATCGCCGTGGCCCCGGATGCCGTGACACTCGCCTTCGGCGTGTTTCTTGCCGGCACGAGTCCGGGACTGGCATATCCGCCGTTCTCCGACGTGATTGTCAGGCACACCGAACCAAGCCGCCAGAACACAATTTATGCCTGGATCAATTCCGGTACGGGGTTCGGCGTCGCCTTTGCCGGCCCGCTGGCATTGTTTGCCGGCGAGGACTGGCGCCTGGCATGGCTCCTGTTCGCGGGTCTGGCACTCGCGATAACGATTTGCAATTTCTGGACGCTGCCGCGGCACAGTCCGAGGATCGCCAATGCCCGCGCGGCAATTTCCCCGCGTTTTCTTTTGCAGAGCGCTGCCAGGCCGCTCTTTGTTGCCGCATTCCTGTTCGGCATATTCTCCGCGGTCTACTGGACATATGCCGTTGAGCTCCTGTGGGAGCTTTCCGGCAATTCGAGGGACGCCATCGTTTTCTGGATTGTTCTTGGCATGGCGGGCGTTACCGGCTGTTTCGCGGGAGGTCTGGTGAACCGCTGGGGACTGCGACAGACGTATCGCGTCCTGGCGCTGATCGTCGGCGCTGCCGTTGCGACCTTGCCGTTCCTGATCGGCGTCCGGCACGGGATTTACTTTTCTGCCGCGTTTTTCGGATCCGGTTTTATCGTGATGACGGCCCTCTTCGGAATGTGGAGCATGCGGATTTTCAGGGACGCTCCCTCGATCGGGTTCGGACTGACCTTTTTCCTGATTTCCCTCGGCCAGGGTGTGGGCCCTGTAGCCGGCGGGTTCGCAATACCCCTGTTGGGTCACTCGATGCTGTTCGTCGTGTCGGGCCTGATGTGCTGCGCTCTTGCGTTGATCAGGCCCAGAGAACGAGAAGTTGCAGCCGGGAACGCATAACACCGAATTATGGTGGCGTAGGCCCACATAACTGCAATGTGCTGGTCTTTGCGGAAAATAGCGGGCAACATGCTGGCACGCTATGATTGTAAAAACTGATGTGACGCGCCCATGATCGTTCCCAAGACGTCGAATGATGATTTGCTGCTGGATGCCGAACTTTGCCGCGCAATGTTCGAGAAGGATCCGGACAAGATGATTGAGCTTGTTTCGGAGTGGCTGGAATCGAATGGCCTGACCACAAGTGAGGATTTTCAGGTACCGCAATATCTGGAGCAGGTTCTCGCAGGTGCCGGCGGATATCCCGGTACCGGTCGCACATTACGTATTTACGCTTCCTGAAAAACGGAAATATCTGCGCATTTTGTGCAACATCATGTGCTCGGTTTGTTGCCGAACGGTTGACCGTATCCTCGGGCGGCGGTCAAACGGGGCTCGTTCTATATTTGTTCTTGATTCTCCCGCATTCCTGTGTTTCGCTCAAACCACATCTCAGGGTAGAGGACAGGGTATGGTCAGCCGGGTAACAACGGTCGCTTTTCAGGGTATCGATGCTGTCCCGGTCGACGTGCAGGTGCATGTCGGCCCCGGCATGGTCGCGTTCACGATCGTCGGTCTGCCGGACAAGGCGGTTGCCGAAAGCCGCGAGCGCGTCAGGGCGGCGCTGTCCGCCTCCGGGCTCGCCCTGCCTGCCAAACGCGTAACGGTCAATCTTGCACCCGCCGACCTGCCGAAGGAAGGCTCGCACTACGATCTGCCGATCGCACTTGGCGTGATGGCGGCGATTGGTGCCATACCGGGCGAATATCTGGATGGATATGCGGTTCTGGGCGAGCTCGGCCTTGATGGCACACTGGCGCCGGTCGCCGGTGTCCTTCCCGCCGCGATGGGTGCGAACGGCCTTGGAAAGGGGCTGATCTGCCCCGAAGCGAGTGGCGGCGAGGCGGCCTGGGCGGATCCGGAAATGGATATTCTTGCCCCCCGCTCCCTGATCCAGCTTGCCAATCATTTCAAGGGAACGCAGATGCTCTCGCGTCCCGCTGCCAGGCTTCAGGGCAACCCCGCAGTCTTGCCGGATCTTGCCGAAGTCAAGGGACAGGAGACGGCCCGGCGTGCACTGGAAATCGCGGCCGCCGGTGGACACAACCTGCTGATGACGGGACCGCCGGGGTCCGGAAAATCGATGCTGGCAAGCCGCCTGCCGTCCATCCTGCCGCCGCTCACCCCGCGCGAGCTGCTCGAAGTCTCGATGATCGCCTCGCTTGCCGGCGAACTGGCTGAAGGCAAGTTGACCGACCGGCGGCCGTTCCGTTCTCCACATCACTCCGCGTCCATGGCGGCCCTCATCGGCGGTGGATTGCGGGCCAGGCCCGGCGAGGTATCTCTATCGCACAATGGGGTGCTGTTCCTCGACGAACTGCCGGAATTCAACCCGCAGGTGCTCGACAGCCTGCGCCAGCCCCTGGAGACGGGAGAGGCGGTGATCGCACGCGCCAATCACCGGGTGACCTATCCCGCGCGCATCCAGTTGGTGGCGGCAATGAATCCCTGCCGTTGCGGTCATGCGGGAGAGCCGGGACATGTGTGTCGCCGGGGTGAGCGCTGCGTCACGGAATACCAGACCCGTGTTTCCGGACCGTTTCTTGACCGGATCGATCTCCGGATCGAGGTTCCAGCGGTCACCGCGGCTGATCTGATCGGCCCGGCCGAAGCCGAACCGTCCGCGGCCGTCGCTGCACGCGTTGCCGAAGCGCGCCGCATCCAGGAAAAACGGTTTTTCGATCTGGGTGTTGCCTGCCGGACAAATGCCCAGGCACCTGCCTCGGTTGTCGAGACCATGGCGCAGCCGGATGAGCTGGGCCTGGCATTCTTGCGAGATGCCGCTGAAAAGCTCCAACTGAGTGCACGCGGTTATCACCGCGTCCTGAAGCTGGCGCGCACGCTCGCTGATCTTGACGGCAAGGACATGGTTGGTCGCATACACCTGGCGGAGGCATTGAGTTATCGCGGCCGGGACGCTTCGCGGCGGGCAGCGTAGTTCCTGACTTGAAAGACCAAATCTGCGTACGGCCGAATGTCGGGTAAGTTTCGCAACGATGGAGGCAGGTGACTTGCCTCACCAGAGACAAGGTTTGATGTCTGCCAGACATTGTTGTGCCTTGTTTGATGTCAGCCGGTGCAACACGCAGACTGCGTCTTGCCGGCAAGTTCGCGAATCGGGTCTTGCGTTACTGCTTTTTTCAAGAGGGCTCCAGTTTTGAAGGGCGACCGAAGTGGTATCCTTGTGCCATATGCCCGCCCAGCTCCCGCATCATATGGGCCTGCTGTGCAGTTTCAACGCCTTCCACGATGACATCGAGACCGAGTGCATGGCCGAGATTTATCATGGCTGAAGCGATGGTTCTGGTTTCATGATTGTCGACGGCTTCTTGCGTGAATGACCGATCGATCTTGATCGTATGAAACGGCAGACGGCTGAGTGTCAGCATGTTTGAATACCCGATACCAAAATCATCAATCGCAAACCGGAACCCCCGGTTTCCAAGCTCACTCATGATTTCGTGCGCGGCGTGAATGTCCCGGATCAGGGCTTGCTCCGTGATCTCGAACCTGATTTGGCTTGGCACCACGTTCAGGCGCTCGCAGATATCGTTTATATGGGCTGCAAGCTGCTCGTCCCGAAGGTTTTGCTCTGCCAGATTGATGGATAGCCAGAATGAGGGATTCGTAATCAGGAGCGGTGCTGCCTGTGTAATCGCAAGCTCGATGCACTTGCGGCTGACTTGATCGAACAGACCGCATTCCTCGGCGGTTTTGAGGACGGTCAGCGGATCGATCCAGCCACGATCGGGGTGCCTCCAGCGCAACAGCGCTTCCATTCCCACCGGTCGCTCATCCAAGAGGTTCACGATCGGCTGGTAGTGAATCTCAAGCGCGGCTGTTTCAAGCGCAGATGCAAGGTCTGCCGCAAGAGCGAGCCGGAAGCGGTGTGCACTGCCGATTGAAACATCGAATTGTACAGCATTTCCACGACCCTTTGACTTCGCCGAATAAAGGGCCAGATCCGCGAACCGTTGCAGCTCTCCTGCATCCGAAGAATGGCGCGGACAAAGCGCAAATCCAACGGACACGCCACAATCGGCACTTCGATGATCAATCGGAATGGGTTCGTTGAACACATCCACGATCCGGTCTGCCAGATTGATCGGTGAGTCGGTTTCAGCATCAATTTCCGCCAGAATTGCGAATTCGTCACCTCCGAGCCTTGCGACGTGGTCGCGCGCCCGCGTCAGCGATTTCAGACGACTCGCAACCTGCTGTAGGACGATGTCGCCACCACCATGTCCGTAGGTGTCGTTTAGTGCCTTGAAGTTGTCGAGATCGATGAAGAGGAGAGCGAAGAATTTACCGGCGCTTGCAGCTTGTCCCACAGCCTGCCCGAGCGCGTTTTTGTAACTGTGCCGGTTCTTCAGACCAGTCAGCTGGTCGATTTCGGCAATTGCGAGCGCGTGTGCTCGCTCCGCCTCAAGGGCTCCGGTTCGCTCGGCGACCTGCCGCTCGAGTTGTTCGTTCAATCCTGCAAGCCGTTGGTTGACATCGAACAATTCGCGGCTCTTCTGCTCAAGAATTTCTTCGGCGGCAATTCTTGCATTGCGCTCTCGGCCGCAGCGTCGCTGCAATCTTGCTATGATCTTTTCAACGTCATCCATGATCGGCCGGTTATCCGGACCGTGTCAGTCTGAAATCGACATAGGTGCCGTCTACATCTGCGCCGCTATCCCGTTCAGTCTCGATCGTGTCACCAAAGCCGGATGCCGCGGCCTGTATCAGACCGAGCGCCAGCGCATCCATGTTGCGTGGACTGCGATATCGCAGGAGTGCTGTCCTTTCGCTTCGCTCTATCATTTCGATGGAAGGCAGTTCCGCGTCGGGATAAAGTTTTTGTACTTCGACATGAATATGCGTGTGTACGCTTGCCAGAAAGTCGAAAAGCGTATCGGCTTCCGCAAAGAACTGGCTGAATTTCCGTTGAAACACTTCGCCCAGATAAACGCCGAACATTCTGACAAGATCCTGATCGTCGATCCCGGTATGTTCGGAAAACGCTTTGGTCAGAATGACAATCTCGGCATGATCATATGTTCCGACTGTCGTGTAAGCCCCGCCGCTCGGCAGCTTGCAGGCCTCGATGACGTCTTCCACGACGTCCTCGCCGACAAGGTTTTCCGCGAAAGCCAGATACTCGGTAAAGACAATACCTTTCATTAAATTGCACTCTTACTTGCTAAATATCAGGCGTTGCGATTATTTTCCAAATATTATCATAGCGTTCCTGACAAGCTGTTAATAGAAAAATCGATGACTAGGTAAAATTGCGGAGTTTTGCAACTTTCTGCAAATATATTTGATTTTCTTTGCTTGTCAGAGCGTATGTTCGAGCTGTGTCCGGATCGAGTAGTGGGTTACTCAGGCTTCTTCACGTAGCTCTGATTGAATATGGGCTGATCGCGCCCCATGTCTCACCGTGTCATTGTTGCAAGGAGATAGCGTATGCTGGTGACCACCACGAACACCGTCCAGGGCAAGGAACTGGATTACAAGGGACTGGTAACGGGTGAGGCAATTCTTGGTGCCAATCTGTTCAAGGATCTGTTCGCCGGTATCCGGGATATCGTCGGCGGACGTTCGGGTGCCTATGAGGAAGAGCTTGCCAAGGCACGCGAAATAGCCGTCAACGAAATGTGCCAGCAGGCCCAGGCAATGGGCGCGAACGCGGTTATCGGTGTCGATCTCGACTATGAGACTGTTGGTCAGAACGGTTCGATGCTGATGGTCAGCGCAACCGGCACGGCAGTCTGGATCCGGTAGGCGTCAAAATGGTCGCCGGTTTCACTGTGCAATCGGGTTTTCCGGAAGATCAGCGATCGATTGCTGCCTCACTCTTCTGGTCGGCGTTTCGCGGAAAACTGGAAATGGTCATGGGACCGGAACCGAAAGCGCTCGGTTTTCTGGAAAGCGTGCTGGATCCGGCTTATGCCCTGAGTGCTGTTGCAACGGACGGCACCTTGCTGGGTCTTGCGGGCTACAAGACGGAAGAAGGCTCTTTTGCCGGCGGGTCGCTGGGCGATCTGTGTACCGCTTATGGGCGTTTCGGCGGAGTTTGGCGCGGTCTTCTGCTGAATATCCTGGAGCGGGATACGGAACCGGGACTGCTGTTGATGGACGGCATCTTCGTAAGTGAGCGCGCGCAAGGACGGGGCATCGGCAGCGCGCTTTTGAAAGCCATCGTTCAGAAAGCCGCGGACGAGGGATTGAAACGCGTCAGGCTCGATGTCATCGACACGAATGATAGAGCGAGAGCGCTCTATGAGCGCATGGGATTCGAGGCCGTTTCGAAAGAAGAAACAGGTCCGTTCAAACATGTGTTTGGATTTGCCGCTGCAACACGCATGGAAACAATCATCCCGCACAACAACTGACCATGTCGCAGGCCTTCTTTCATCAATTGAAGGGACGGCACTTTCGCACATGTTGTGCCCGGGCAAGCACTCGCGCTATCGTGTGACGCTATGCCGAGGGAGGATGGCATGCGCGATACCGAACATGTCAGCGAAATCGACCGGGTCCTGAAAGGACAGGAGACCGGCAGGGATGAACTTGTGTCCGAAAGCTGGCGGCGCTGCGTCCAGACCTACGGCATGGACCCGACGCGGCCGGAACCGGCCCATATCGTTACGGAGCAGCAGCTCAGGGAACATCAGGAGCAATCGGAGCGGTTGATCGCAACCGCCCGCTCGGGCCTGCGAACCCTTTTCAAGCAGGTTGCGGGGCAAAACTACGTGCTTCTTCTGGCAGATGCCAAGGGCATCTGTGTCGACTTCTTCGGCGATCCCCGGTTTGAGGAAGACCTGCGCAGGGCCGGATTGTATCTTGGCTCCGACTGGTCAGAAGACCTGGCGGGCACTTGCGGGGTCGGATCCTGCATCGTGACCGGCGAGGCGGTGACCATACACCAGGGCGATCATTTCGGATTGTCACACACACCGCTTTCTTGCACGTCGGCGCCGATCTTCGATACGGGCGGAAACCTGGCCGCCGTCCTGGATGTGTCTCTCCTGCGCTCACCAAGTCCCAAGTCGACGCAGAACCTTGCGATGAACCTTGTCAAGGCATCGGCGCGCCGCGTTGAAATGGCCAATCTCATGGCAATGACACGCAGGGAATGGGTCCTGCGGTTTTCCACGTCTGCAGAATTTCTGGAAGTTGATCCCGAAGCAGCTGTCGCGCTTGACGACAGCGGTCACATCACGGGCATGACCCATGGGGCGCTGGAATGTCTCGCCCCGTCAGGTGCTGCCGAATTGATCGGAACCAGAATAGACCAGCACATGGACCTGAATATTGATGATCTGCCGGACCTCATGCGGGGCAGGCCTCCCGAAGAACGTGTTCTGCGCCTGCGAGACGGGCGTGGCCTTTATGGGCACGCGATCGCTCCCCAGTCGGCGCGTGTCTCTCGTCCGCAGGCCATTGGCGCCCTGTCCGGACCCTTGCGAAATTTTGGCGGCCCGGACCCTGCGCTCGCCCAGATCGCCGCCAAGGTGGACCGGCTGGCACCGACCCAGGTTCCTCTCCTGCTGGTAGGCGAAACCGGCACGGGCAAGGAATACCTTGCAAGGGCGGTTCATGTCCTCGGACCCTCAAACCGCGCCTTTCACACTTTGTGTTGCTCCGCGCTCCGGAACGAAAAGGTCGACGGGATCGCGGAGGGCGGAGCGGGAACGCTGTTCCTGCGTGGCATTGAGGATCTGGATGATGAAGGACAGGCCCTCATCCTCGCATTGCTCGAAACACGAAATGATCTGCGGATCATAGCCTCGGCGCGCCGGGAGGCTGCTGATAGCGGCACTTTCGAGGCGATCAGACCCGAGCTTTACTTCAGGTTGGCGGGGTCGGTCATCTCCATTCCACCGCTCCGGCACCGCAAGGATTTTGACTGGCTTGTCGATCGGCTGCTTCGACGCTCTCCAAAGGATGTTCGGCTGTCACCGGCAGCCCGGGCTGAACTCGGCAGCCGGCAATGGCCCGGAAACATCCGGGAACTTGCAACGGCATTGGAAATTGCAATGGCCCTTGTGGAGGGGTCGGTTATCGACCTTCCGGATCTGCCGCCGCCTTCCGGCTCAATTCATTCGAAAACCGACCCGGATGACGACCTTGAGGCGTTGCTCGATGCCTGCAGCTGGAACATGTCATTGGTCGCCAGACGGCTCGGGGTCAATCGGTCAACCATTCTGCGCCGAATGCGCAAGGCTGGACTTTCTGGCAAACGCTGATCGGGCCGGTCGCAAACACATTCCGGATCGTATCCCTGTGTTGCACGGTGTTGCGCGCGCAACAGGAATGGACATTTCTTCGGCTTTACTTATTCAATCGGCGTCGCAGAGATGGCGAAACTGCCGTCTCTTCTGCAATTCTCCCAGACAGGATTACATGGGAGGAATAGAATGCTCGACACACCCTTGGTTCATCAGACCGAAACCTTTCTCAAGTCATTCGGAAAGGCACTGCAAGACAATAATGTAGACGAAGCCGTGAACATGTTTCAGGACGATTGCTACTGGCGGGATCTTGTAGCCTTCACCTGGAATATCAAGACCGTCGAAGGCAAGGATCAGATCAGGGACATGCTGACGCGGCAGCTGGCAACGATCGCGCCAGGCAACTGGACGATTGCGGAGGGTGAAGTACCAACCGAGGAAGGTGGTGTTGTAACGGCCTGGATCCAGTTTGAAACGAAGCAGGCCCGATGCTTCGGCCTGATCCGACTGAAGGACAACAAGATCTGGACCTTGTTGACCACCATGGTCGAGATCAAGGGCCATGAGGAGCCAAAAGGCTTTCAGCGGCCCCTCGGTGCCAAACATGGCGCCGGCAAGAACAGGTCGACCTGGAAAGAGGAGCGCGAACGGGAAAATGCCGAATTGGGCTATACGGAACAGCCCTATTGCGTGATCATCGGTGGCGGTCAGGGCGGGATCGCACTCGGCGCCAGGCTGCGACAACTGGGTGTTCCAACCATCATAGTCGAGAAAAATGAGCGGCCAGGAGACAGCTGGCGAAACCGCTACAAGTCTCTCTGTCTTCACGATCCGGTCTGGTACGACCACCTGCCCTACATCAAGTTTCCGGAAAACTGGCCGGTCTTCAGCCCGAAGGACAAGATCGGCGACTGGCTCGAAATGTACACCAGGGTCATGGAGCTGAACTACTGGACCAGGTCGATCGCCAAATCGGCAAGCTATGATGAGGCAACCGGGGAATGGACAATTGTTGTCGACCGAGACGGCGAGGAAGTCACCTTGCGCCCAAAACAGCTGGTGATGGCGACAGGCATGTCGGGCAAGGCGAACGTTCCGGCTTTTCCGGGCATGGAAAAATTCAGGGGCGACCAGCATCATTCGTCAAAACATCCCGGACCGGATGCGTATCGCGGCAAGAAAGCCGTTGTCGTCGGCTCGAACAATTCCGCGCACGACATCTGCGCGGCGCTCTGGGAAAACGACGTCGATGTCACGATGGTCCAGCGTTCGTCGACACACATCGTCCGTTCCGACACGCTGATGGACGTGGGACTTGGGGCGCTTTATTCCGAGGAAGCCGTCCGGTCCGGAATGACGACAGAAAAGGCGGATCTGATCTTTGCATCCCTGCCCTATCGCATTCTCCACGAATTCCAGATACCGGCTTACGCGGAGATGAAAAAGCGGGATGCGGATTTCTACGACGGGCTTGAAAAGGCCGGGTTCTGGCTGGACTGGGGCGACGATGAAAGCGGTCTCTTCATGAAATATCTGCGCCGTGGATCCGGCTACTACATCGACATCGGTGCCAGCCAGCTCATAATTGACGGTGAAATAAAGCTGAAGCGGGGCCAGGTCACCGAAATTGTTGAAGACGGAGTGATCCTCGACGACGGCACCAGGCTGGAAGCGGATGTCATTGTCTATGCCACAGGCTACGGCTCGATGAATGGTTGGGTCGCCGATCTCATGGACCAGGATACGGCGGACAAGGTCGGCAAGGTCTGGGGGTTGGGGTCGGACACGACCAAGGACCCCGGACCCTGGGAAGGCGAACAGCGCAACATGTGGAAGCCGACCCAGCAGGACGCTCTCTGGTTCCACGGGGGCAATCTGCACCAGTCACGTCACTACTCCCAGTTTCTCTCCCTGCAGCTGAAAGCACGCATGGAAGGCCTCGAGACGCCGGTTTATGGACTGCAGGACGTCCATCACCTTTCGTGACGTCCTCAAACCGTATCTTGGCGTAATCAATGGCAAAAAACGGGGACGAAGGTCCCCGTTTACATATGGTCCTCATGACGGCGGGAAAAGCGCGATGGTTACTCTCCGTCGGTCGCAACAGTCATCATTAGAGACCTTCAAACAAGGCTGTCGACAAATAGCGTTCCGCAAAGGACGGAATGATAACGACAATGGACTTTCCCTCCATGCCGTCTCGCTGGCCAACCCGGATGGCGGCAGTCAGCGCCGCCCCGGAGGATATGCCGACGGGCAAACCTTCCATCTTTGCGACTTCCCGGGCCATGGCAAAGGCATCTTCGTTGGAGACCGTAGCGACTTCGTCATAGACCCCGGTATCCAGAACGCCGGGTACAAAGCCCGCGCCGATACCCTGGATTTTGTGGGGTCCAGGCTCGCCACCGGACAGGATCGGGCTGTCCGTCGGCTCGACGGCGACCACATGCAAGTCCGGTTTCCGCTGTTTCAGAACCTGGGAAACACCGGTGATCGTGCCTCCTGTGCCTATTCCGGACACGAAGACGTCGATAGCGCCGTCGGTATCGTTCCAGATCTCCTCCGCTGTCGTGTTGCGATGGATTTCGGGATTTGCCGGGTTTTCAAACTGTTGCGGTATCACTGCCCCGGCGATCTCGTTGACGAGTTCCTCGGCGCGTGCAATAGCGCCCTTCATGCCCTTGGCACCATCGGTCAGCTCCAGTTCGGCGCCGAGGATCTTGAGCATCTTCCGACGCTCGACAGACATTGTTTCGGGCATGACCAGGATGAGGCGATAGCCCTTTGCCGCTGCAACGAAGGCAAGCGCGATGCCGGTATTGCCGGAGGTCGGTTCCACCAGCGTGGACTTTCCCGGTGCAATGCGACCATCCCGTTCCATTGCCTCGATCATGGCGACGCCGATCCGGTCCTTGACGCTGGCGATGGGGTTGAAGAATTCAAGCTTGGCAAGCAGGTTGCCCTTTACACCATGGGCCTTGGCCAGACGGTCCAGCCGCACGATCGGCGTATCGCCAATAGTTTCGGTAATCGAAGCATAGATCTTTCCGCGACCGCTGGTTTTCATCGTCATGGCACTTCTCCCTGGCTTGACCGACCTCTTAGATGGTGTCCGTCGTAATAGGTTTTAAAGGACCCGTCATCCCCGGAGGCGAGAAACCCCTTGTTCCGCCACCTTTTCACGCGCCGGAAACAAGTAGGCCGGGCAGGTCCGACATGCGTTCGAACAGGATGGCACCGGCCTTGCGCAATGCGTCGCGGTCACAGACCGGATCATCGACATAGGCATAGACGCGCATTCCTGCAGCCTTCGCAGCCATCACGCCCGGGAGGCTGTCTTCGACGACAACGCATGTCTCGGGCGTGTGTCCCATGGACCTTGCCGCCAGCAAGAATATGTCGGGTGCCGGTTTTCCTTTCGCGCAATCCTGCGAGGAATAGAGCTTGTCTTTCAGGCGCTCCAGAAGGCCAGCACTGCCGAGCGTCGAGTGCATTTTCTCGTATTTGCCCGATGAACCGACACAATATGGAATTCCGCGCTGGTCGAGCATGTCCATGACTTTCGCGACCCCCGGCACTTGAGAAACGCCAGATTTGAAACTCTCAAGGTCACGGGCGCGAAGCTGAACCAGCCAATCGGAAGGAAGCTTCCGGCCAAGCTCCTGTTCAACCGTCTCCTGGACCGCTTCCAGTGTCCGCCCCATGAAGCGCTTCTGGCATTCCGGACCGGTCATCGGACAACCGTATTCGGTCAAGAGTGCGGCCATGGTCCGGTTTGTCAGGCGTTCGGTATCCACCAGAACACCGTCACAATCGAAAATGACCAGATGTGGTGTCATTGGAATGGCTGTTCCTCAATTGCGGCCGGTCGAACCGAAACCACCCACACCACGCTCGGTGTCGGACAGGACCGCGACTTCGGTGATCTCGGCCTGAAGCACCGGAGCGATTACCATCTGTGCGATTCGCTCTCCGCGCGTAATCTCGAAAGGAGCATCTCCCAGATTGATCAGGATAACCTTGACCTCGCCACGATAATCCGCGTCGATCGTGCCTGGCGTGTTGAGGACCGTAACGCCGTGTTTGGCCGCGAGACCGGACCGTGGACGAACCTGGGCTTCGAATCCGGCCGGCAGCGCCATGGAAAGACCGGTTGGTACCAGTGCACGTTGTCCCGGGGCGAGAATCACGGGGTCGTCGACTGCCGCGAGAAGGTCGAGACCGGCTGCCAGTTCCGACTGGTAGGCGGGCAGGGGCAGGTCCTTGCCATGTTCGAGGCGTTTCAGTTGCAGGGTCGCGTGCATTCTTTTGTCCAGAGTTGGAAGGCCAATCGCTGCGTGATATTCGGCACCTCCTGTCAAGATTGGCAAGGGTGTTTTTTTGTTTCGCAGAAAATTCAGCTAACGCCTTGAAGTTTAGAGAATCTCCTGAAACACTCTGCCCCGAAGTAATGTTGCCTTGGTTGGGAGATTTGCAACATGAGACGTTTGATTTTCGCATTCACGACAGGTGTTTTGTTGGCAACCGCCCCGGCGGCATTTGCGCAGACGGTGGGGTTCGCCGAGGCGATCAAGATCCTGTCTGCAAGTTGCGGCAAGGACATTAACGCATACTGCAAGACCGCGACGCTGGCCAACAATGGTATCGGCAAGTGCCTGGACCAGAACCAGGCCAAGGTCTCCCAGAAGTGCAACGCGGACCGTGCCGTGGTCGCTACCCTCATTCAGGAGCGGCTCGCGGCACAGGCAGCCGCGCCCAAGATCTGTCAGCGTGACGCCGCGCAATACTGCAAAGGCGTCAAGCCCGGTGCCGGACACGTTCTGCGTTGCCTCCTGAAGGCACAGCCTTCCGTCGGCAAAAAATGTAACACCGCCATCGATCTGGCCGGATACCGCTAAGAAATCCCGGGAGAAAATTTATGAAGAAGATCCTTTTCGCCGGTATCTCGGCTGCTCTGCTTGCTGTCTCCGTTTCCGGTGCCGCCGCCCAGACGAAGCTCAACCGGAACGAAATCATCAACTCGCTTCAGGGCGCCCAGCAGAAGGTCGATGTTAGCGCCGACGAACTGCAGAAGGCTGCCTTTGAGAACATCCAGAAATATCCTGGAGCCAACTCGCCCGGAAATCTGCCGCTGTGGGACAAGCTTGCGTCTTTGCGTCAGTTCAACGTGGAAATCACCTTCGACCTGAATTCGGCACGCATTCGTCCGGAATCCTATGAAACGGTCGGCGTGATCGCAGATGCACTGCATACGCCCTATCTGCAGGGTCAGACCTTCTTCATTGTCGGGCACACCGATGCGACCGGTCCGCGTGACTACAATCTGGAACTCTCCATCAAGCGTGCGCAGTCGGTCCGCGAAGCACTCGTGACCACGTTCCAGGTTCCGGGGAAATATCTGCAGGCCGTCGGCCTTGGCGAGGAGCAGCTGAGAGATCCGTCCAAACCGGATTCCGGCATCAATCGCCGTGTTCAATTGATCAACGTCGGCTACCGCTAAGCCCGGTTTCCGCGCGATTCATGGCCGCTCCCGGACACTCGGGAGCGGTTTTTCTTTGCGATTGTTCCTGAATCGGGAACAGGCCTTCTTCAAAAACGAACCTTCCGATCACCCCGAAGCTCTCTATCTTCAGGGAAGTTTCAAAATCAATTGCATGAAGGAGAGCCTGTATGTCCGAGGCTCAAAAGCCCATATCCCCTGTCTTTTTTGCCCACGGTGCCCCGACACTGGCAATAGAGGACACATCGGCAAGCCGATTCCTGAAATCCTTTGCGGACAGCAGGAGTTGGCCGGATGCCATATTGATCCTGTCTGCCCATTGGGAAACCGAGGGGTTGAAACTCTCGGCCCCGGGTCCGCTGCGTACCTACCATGATTTCCGCGGGTTTCCGCCCGAGCTCCATGAAATGTCCTATCCGGCCAGAGCCGACGAAGACCGGGTTGACGAAACGGCGAGACTGCTTGAGGACGCCGGGTATGAAGTCGAACTCGATGGCGACCGGGGCCTGGATCATGGTGCCTGGGTGCCCCTGTCCCTTGCATTTCCCCGGGCGAACATTCCGGTTACCGCGCTGTCGCTTCCCGATGGAAGCACGCCGGAAACCGTCTACGAGCTGGGCAGAACGGTTGCGCCTCTGAAGGAAACAGGTGTCCTGATTGCCGGTTCCGGAAGCACGACGCATAATCTGGGGGATATCAGGCCTCAGGGCTCGGATGCCCCGGACTGGGCAAGGAATTTTGATCGCTGGCTCGACGACGGTTTGAAGGCCGGATCGATTGACTACTTCAGGGATCTGGAGGCCGTCCCGGACTTCCGGCGAAATCATCCGACCGAGGAGCACCTCTTGCCGCTGTTTTTTGCCTTCGGTGCCGCCGGCCAGGAGGCCCACGCTGAACTTCTGCACCGCAGCTATGAATACGGGTCTATCAGCATGAGCTACTTCCGCTTCGCGGCCGAGGCAGCCTGAAAGGCTGTTAAGGATCTGACTGGCAGTGGCTTGTCGCGGCGCGGGAATTGCGAAATGCCTTACCCGTATTCGGGATCTGGGGTTTCCGGACCCCGGCAGTTGACCTCAAGCGGGTTCGTCCTCGCTTCCAGGCAGGTATCCTGTGTTCGCTGATGCCGGTATGAGTGGATCGTCTCACATCGCGACGGCCGATCATTCATCCAGCGCAGCCGCCGCCCGGGCGACAATCTGTCGGGCGACCTCGGCCTTGGTCATCTCGGGCCAGTCTTCCACGCCATCCCGGCTGACAAGGCGCACCGTATTGGCATCGCCACCCATGATTCCCGTTTCCGGGCTGACATCGTTGGCGATGATCCAGTCGGCGTTTTTCCGCTCCAGCTTCGAGCGGGCATTGTCAATCAGGTTCTGTGTTTCAGCGGCAAAGCCGATCAGCAGTTTCGGGCGCAGACTTTCGTGATGTCCGACCGTTGCCAGAATATCGGGATTTTCGACGAGCCCGAGCGCCGGTGGCTTGCCGCTACCGTCTTTCTTGATCTTCTGTGCACCTTCGGACGCGACTCGCCAATCGGCCACTGCGGCTGCCATGATCGCTATGTCGGCAGGAAGGCATGATTTGACGGCGGAAAGCATGTCTGCCGCCGACTCAACACGAATTGTGTCGATATTGTCGGGATCTGCCAGGTCAACCGGACCGGACACCAGCGTCACGCGCGCACCTGCTTCATAGGCGGCCACCGCCAGAGCGTGGCCCTGTTTGCCCGATGAACGGTTCGCGATATAGCGCACGGGATCGATGGGCTCGTGGGTCGGGCCGGAAGTGATCAGGACATGCTTGCCGGCCAGCGGAAGACGGTTCTGCCTGATTTCCTCATCGCGCAAAACCGCCGAGGCAGCGGCAACGATCTCCAGGGGGTCGCTCATCCGGCCGACACCGGCTTCACCCTTTTCTGCCATCTCGCCTCTCGCAGGTCCAACGAACCTGATGCCGCGTTCTTGCAGGATGGTGATGTTGCGTGTCGTCGCAGCGTTGTGCCACATCTTTGGATTCATCGCTGGTGCGACAAGGACAGGTTTGTCCGTTGCCAGCAGCACGGCTGTGGCAAGATCGTCGGCGATACCGTGGGCCGTCTTTGCCATCAGGTTTGCCGTTGCCGGCGCAATCAGGACGAGGTCATGGTCCCGGGCCAGTCGGATGTGGCCGACATCGTGTTCGGCCTCCCGGTCGAACAGGCTTGTGAAGACTTTCTCGGCTGAAAGCGCACCCACGGCAAGCGGAGTGATGAACTCCTGAGCGCCTGCGGTCATGACCGGGATAACACGCGCACCACGTTCCTTGAGCCGCCGGATGAGATCAAGCGACTTGTAGGCGGCAATTCCGCCGCTGATGATCAACACGATCTGCTTGCCGTTGAGCATGGAGGCTAGAGCCCTTTAGAAGAATACAGACCGAAGATGTATCAGAAACCGGTCCGGAAATCCCTGGGCGCCGGTGAAATCACTTCGGTGCCCCGCCCGGTAATCTGATATACCGCGAGCCCACGTTCGTTTAATCCGTTCGACTTGAAACGGAACAGGCCGTCGATCCCGATAAATCCGTCGCGGTTCGTCATGATGCTCTGCTGGAAGCGTTGCGGACCAGCGGAGCGGATCAGGCCGGCGGCAAGTGTAACGCCGTCATAGACAAGACTGGCATTGCGAGGCGGGGTCGCTCCGTACGTGCTCTGATAGCGTCTTGCAAATCCCTGGAACCCCTTGTCCTCAGGGCCGGCAAACCACGCGCCCGCCAGCACGGAGTTGTTCTTGACCTGCGCGGAATCCCACTGACCGGATCCCAGGATCTTGATGTTCCCGAGATTTGCACCCTGGCTGACGAGAGTTTGTACGACAAGAGGAGGAACGCCGCCGCCGGCCGGCACGAACAAGGCATCGATGTTGTTCGTGACCGACTTGAGTGCAGCGGTCTTGGCAACCAGATCCGACGTGTCCGAGCCCGACATCTTGTAACGTTGGATGGTCGCGATCCTGCCTGCACCCTTTCCGACTTCCTGTCGGAAGGCGGCTTCAACGACAGCCCCGTAGGAACCATCCGGTATGAGTGCGGCGTAGGAGCGTTTCTGCTGACTGTTGGCATAGCCGATGATCCGCTTGACATCGGATTCGGGAAGAAAACTCAGAAGATAGACACCGCGTGCCGCGACGGACGTGTCGGTTGAAAACGCGATGACCGGGACACCAGTGGCCCGTGCTGCGGCTGCAGCGCCGGAAACTGCCGGTGCGAAGACAGGTCCAAGGATCAGTTCGGCGCCTTCCGAGATTGCCGACTGAGCGGCACTTCGCCCGCCTTCGGCCGTCCCTCCGGTGTCCTTCACCAGAAGCTGGACGTCCGCATTCGGAAAATTCTGCAGTGCAAGCGCGGCGGCGTTTTTGAAAACGGTGCCGATGGATGCATTGCCACCACTGGCGGCCAGGGGCAACAGCAGACCGACCCGCACACTGCCGGTCCCGATGACCTCACCTGTCGTCTGGGGCTGGGCGGTAGGTTGCACCTGATCGCCCGGCAGCGAGCCGAGTGAAGATCCGAGGCAGCCTGAAAGCGCGAATGCGCTGCTGCAGGCAAGCGCCGTCTTCAAAAACTGCCGTCTCTGTTGCTGTCCGGTTTTGCCCCGCATCGCACTTGCCATTGTTATTTTTTCACCTCTGGCAAGACTTACGTATTCGCTCGTGTCATGTCCAGTTTTTGGGCGACGTCAGCAGCATATCCCGATGATCAGCAGTGGATTTACCTTGCATCGGCAGCGTCCTGCGGTTAGCGCAGTGACAAGGACCTCTATCCGGCAAGCAAATCTTGGAGCCCATATGGAGAGCGATTCATCAGCTGCAGTTGCGGACAGGAACCGTTACAGCCTCGCCGAACACGCTTTCAGCGCACCTAATCTTGAGCCGGCGCTTTATATTGTTTCGACGCCGATCGGCAATCTCGGTGACATCACCGTCCGCGCTCTGCAAACCCTGGCGGCGAGCAGCTTCATTGCCTGCGAGGACACGCGCGTCACTGCGACCCTGACCCAGAAGTTCGGCTTGAAGACCCAATTGGTTGCCTATCACGAACACAATGCCGACAAGCAGAGGCCGAAGATCCTGGCCGAACTTGAGGCCGGCAGGGCTGTGGCCCTTGCTTCCGATGCGGGAACACCCCTTGTTTCCGATCCAGGCTATCGGCTTGTTCGGGCAGTTCTGGACGCGGGCCACCGGGTCATTCCGATTCCGGGTGCGTCCGCACCTCTCGCCGGGCTCGTCGCATCGGGTCTGCCGAGTGACACGGTGCTCTTTGCCGGGTTTCTGCCGCAAAAGGGCGGCCCGAAAACCAGGCGGCTGGAAGAGCTGGCAAGGGTGCCCGGAACGCTGATTTTTTTCGAATCCCCGCATCGCACCGGTGCGACACTGGAGCTGATGGCAACGGTACTGGGTAGCAGTCGGGAAGCCGTTGTCGCACGTGAGCTGACCAAGCGGTTCGAGACGTTTGAGCGCGGCTCGCTGTCCGAACTCGCCGACCGATTCAAAGAGATGCAGGTGAAGGGTGAGATCGTTATCCTGGTGGGTCCGCCCGACGAGCGGCCCGAAGCCGACGCTTCTGACCTGGACGCGCTGCTGCTTGAAGCGCTGAAGGAGATGCCGGTCAGTGCTGCTGCCAAGAAAGCTGCAAAGGCGACAGGGCTGGACCGGAAGGACGTCTACCAGCGCGCACTCGACCTGAAGGCCGGAGACGGCTGACCATGCCGGGGCAGAAGAAAAACTCCCTGGAGCAGCGCCGCCGGTCCCATGCCCGGGGCCTGTCCGCAGAAGCCTGGGCGGCCTGGTACCTGCGCCTCACCGGCTGGCGCATCCTGAAGCACCGTTACAAGACCGGGGCAGGCGAGATCGACCTGATTGCGAAACGACGCAAGACCGTTGCTTTCGTCGAGGTCAAGGCCAGGAAGACCCGGAGTGCGGCGCTGGAAGCCGTCACGCCTGCCAGCCAGAAACGAATTACCCGGGCCGCGAAAATCTTTGTTTCCGAACATCCCAAGGCGGGGTTCTTCACGCTCCGCTTCGACGTCATCGTCATCCGGCCCTGGGCCTTGCCCGAGCGGATCGAAAATGCATTCGAGGCTTGGGACTAGGTCGGAAAACAGCCTGGGCGCATCCTTCTCGCGGCCATTGACCGATCGGGGGCCCTCCTCGACCTGCCTTCTTGATAACGGGTCGAGGCCGGTACAGAAATTTCGGCTGTTCATTGGAATTCTAGCAAATACACCGGGCGCGCACCCACTGGACAAAGCGGCATCGCGACCGCATATCTGGACCGACTGATCTGAAATCCCAGGAGATCGGCAGTTACGCGGTCCTGTTCGATCGCATGGCCGCACGTTGATCTTCTTCAAAGCGCTGTCGCGCACCCGCCGGGAGTTGCCTCATGGCTCTGAAAGTAGCGGTCCAGATGGACCATATCTCGACAATCAACATTGCCGGAGACAGCGCCTTTGCGATGATGCTCGAAGCGCAGTCCCGTGGCCACGAACTGTATCACTATACGCCCGACCGCCTCGCTCTGCGTGGCGATGAGGTCTTCTGTGCGCTGGAACCGGTCGAGGTGCGCGACCAAATAGGCAGCCATTTCACGCTCGGCAGCAGGACCCGCACGGACATGCGCGAGATGGACGTGGTGCTGATGCGCCAGGACCCGCCTTTCGATCTTTCCTATATCGCGGCGACCCACATTCTGGAAAAGATTCACCCGGCAACGCTTGTCGTGAACAACCCGGCGGAGGTTCGCAATGCGCCGGAAAAGCTGTTTGTCACCGACTTTCCCGATCTCATGCCGCCGACCCTGATTACCAAGGACCGGGCTGAGATCGATCTCTTCCGGGAAGAATACGGCGACATCGTCATGAAGCCGCTCTTCGGTCACGGCGGTGCGGCCGTCTTCCGCATTACAAAAGACGATCTGAATTACGGGTCGCTCTATGATTTCTTCGATGTCACGTTCCGCGAGCCCTGGGTGATCCAGCAGTTCCTGCCCAACGTGAAGCACGGCGACAAGCGCATCCTGCTCGTCGACGGCGAATTTGCCGGTGCGGTCAACCGGGTTCCTGCAGAAGGGGACCTGCGCTCCAACATGGTGCGCGGCGGGGCACCGACCGACAGCGACCTGACCGAGCGCGAGCGCGAGATTTGCGCACGCCTCGGACCTTCGCTGAAGGAAAAGGGCCTCATTCTGGTCGGCATCGACGTCATTGACGGCATGCTGACCGAAATCAACGTCACCGCTCCAACGGGCATTCGCGCCATCCGAAATCTCGGCGGACCGGACGTTGCTGCGATGGTCTGGGACGTTCTGGAGGGCAAGGTGCGGGCCTGATTTCGACCGCGCGCATTGTTGATATTTCGGCCAGACACAAAAAAAAACCTCCGCGCGAACGCGGAGGTGAAAGTTAGTGTGCTTAGACAATGCAACAGAGGGCCTACACGGCAGCCTCTGTCAGTAAAACCCACCGAGGCCATTGTTCTTCCACGGAAAATCAAAAAAAATCAAAAAAAGCACGGAAACTTTCCAGCCAAGGAGAAAATATCAACAAAATCAGATAGTTAAAAATTTTGAAGAAATGAATCTTTTTTGAAAAAATTAAAAAATACAATTACTTAGGCAACAAAAAGTTGTGCCGGAGTCCGAACGCCAGAGAGTGCGAATGTCCGACCCTCTTACCTTTGTTTGAGGGTTTTTGGTCACGTTCGTCACGAGGGGCTGCCGTCTGTCTCTCGGGACGGCGCCGAGCGATTTCCAGAGGCGACAGAGGCGATGGGTCACCCGTAACGAGGGACCGATTGGCTGCTTTCCCTGAACTGCCAACCGGAACCCCGTACCTTGAACCATAGCGGACCTTATTCCGCGGCTTCCGTATTCAGGACGCCACGGCGGATCTGGTCTTCCTCGATCGACTCGAACAGGGCGCGGAAATTGCCCTCACCGAAGCCTTCGTCACCCTTTCGCTGGATGAACTCGAAAAAGATGGGTCCGATCACGGTCTTTGAGAAAATCTGCAGCAGAATTTTCGTCATGCCACCGTCGATAACCCCCTCGCCGTCGATCAGGATACCGTGCTCTTTCATGCGTTCGAGCGGCTCGTCATGGCCCTGCACGCGGTCCTTTGACATTTCGTAGTAGGTTTCCGGCGGGCCCGGCATGAACTTGAGTTCGTTGGCCGCCAGCCTGTCTGTGCTGTCATAGATATCGTCGGTTCCGACCGCGATGTGCTGGATGCCCTCGCCCCCGTACTTCTTCAGGTATTCCTCGATCTGGCTGGTGTCATCCTTCGACTCGTTCAGCGGAATGCGGATTTTGCCGCAGGGGCTGGTAATCGCGCGGCTGACGAGTCCGGTAATGCGGCCGTCAATGTCGAAGAAATGGATCTGCTTGAAGTTGAAGAGGTCGCGGTAAAAGTCCCACCACTTGTCCATGTTGCCGCGATAGACGTTATGGGTCAGATGGTCGAGATAATAGAAGCCGACACCTTCCGGCTTCGGATCGGTTGCATCCAGCCAGTCGAACTCATCCGAATAGGCCGATCCCTTGTCGCCATAGGTATCGACGAAGTAAAGCAGCGAACCGCCGATACCGACAATGGCCGGGACGTCCAGCGTCTTGTCGTCCCCTTCATAGGGTGTCGCGCCTTTTGCGACCGCGTGGTCGAACGCGTGTTTCGCGTTCACGACCCGCCAGGCCATGGCAGGTGCGCACGGCCCGTGTTCGTCGACGAATTTCATGCCATGGCTGCCGCTTTCGGCGTTCAGTACATAGGTTATGTCACCCTGGCGATAGAGGGTGATGTTCTTCGTCCTGTGTTTTGCAACGGGTTGATACCCCATCCTGCGAAACAGGACGTCCAGCTTTTCCGGTTCGCGATGCGCGAATTCAACGAATTCGAATCCGTCGGTCCCGGCCGGATTCTGCGCGGTGATCTGGGCTGGCGGTGCATCGTGCGGAAACGGTCCCATGACTGGTTCTCCTTCGAAAGGTCTGTTGTTGCCACAAAGAATGCCCCGGATGACGCGCAGGGTGTGTGCAATCCACGTGATTGCGCGTAGTATCTTGCACGTTCTGTGTGAAAATATTGGGATATATGCATGACTGTTGCGCTTGATGGCTATGACGTGAAACTTCTCGCCGCATTGCAGGACAATGCCGCTCTGACCAACGCGGAGCTTGGCGACGTGATCAGCCTGTCGGCCAGCCAGGTTTCCCGCCGCCGTCAGAAACTGGAGGAAACAGGGGTGATCCGCCGCTACCGCGCCGCACTCGACCCTGAAGCCCTGGGTCTGACGGTGACGGCCTATATTGGCGTGACGCTCGGCGCGCACAGCAAGGAAAATGCCCGGAAATTCCGGAACGTCGTGATTGCCATGCCGGAAGTCCAGGAAGCACACACCCTGACCGGCGATGTCGACTACATGCTGAAAATCGTTGTGCCCGACCTCAAAACCCTGAGCCGCATCATCAACGACGACCTCCTTCCACAAGAGGCGGTCCACCATGTGCGCTCGTCGATTGCAATGGAAACGCTGAAGGACGACAATTTGTTGCCACTGGGTCGTTAAAGTATGAATGCGGCCCTGCAGGGAACGAAACAACCATCTGCGACGCTTCAAGGCGGGTACGGCGCGCGTGTCAAATGCGAGCGCTTCGAATTCGGTCCTAAAGACCGAAAAGCTTGATCAGGTCCGACCAGAAGTCCTTGCGCAGGCCCGGCAGGTCTGGTGCGGCGTTGCCCTGAACATCTGCAAGACAGACGTCGGAGTAACCGTTTTCGGCGGAAAGCAGACATCCGGTTTCGGGAATGCCTTCGTCGTGGCGGTAGAGACGGGTCCCCGTGTGTGATTTGAAAATCAGGTCAGGGCTTTCGAGTTCACCCACGGTTCTGAAAACATAAGTCGGGTACTGCGTGCCGCGAGCAATGCCGCGGTCCTGAACCACGTGCACAACGACCTGGTTGTCTGGGTCACCGGACTCATGAAACGAAACCAGGTTTCCGGTCGAACTTTCACCGTCAGCGGACAGAATCCTGAGAAATGTGTTTTTTAGCTCATCATCTTGGATCTCCGAATAGGAGTCCGGGGACCCGTTGCTGGAAAACGCTCGCACAGCGTCTCCGCTGCACAGCAGCGCAATCAGAGCCATGTGAGCTGCCAATGCTCTTGCACGCACTTTTCTGCTGACCATTTATTCGGAAATTCCAAATCGGGTGGTGTTCTTGTTTCTGTACCCAAATGTAACGCAAACTTGCGCACCCCGCAGAAAATACCATCTGATAGGGAAAGTGTGATTTGCCCCGCGCGGGGCCGTTCAAGGGAGCAATTGATGTTTGACGCTAAATCCTTGCTGGATCAGTTCCTGGGCAGTCAGTCCGGAGGCCCTTCCGGCAGTCAATATGGTGGCCGGGGCGGTGCAGCCGCGCAGCGCGGTGGATCGGGCGACCTGATGTCGCAGGGCAAGGATTTTCTGTCGTCCCAGGGCGGAGGCCTCGCGCTTGGCGGGCTCGCCGGACTGATGCTTGGTTCCAAGTCCGGACGGAAGATCGGCAAGAAAGCCGTCACTTATGGTGGTCTCGCTCTTGTTGCCGGTCTGGCTTACAAGGCCTACCAGGGCCACAAGGCCAATCAGCAGAACGCGCCGCGACCACAATATCCACAGGACGAGCCGATCCCCCTGGAGGCTCCGCGCGGCACGGCCTTCGACCCGGCAGAGCAACCGGGCGGCGAGAACGAATTTGCCGTCGCTCTGCTGTCGGCAATGATCGCGGCTGCAAAAGCGGATGGCCACATCGACAGGGAAGAACAGGATACGATCTTCGCCAAGATCGACGAAGCCGGTCTCGACAGCGAGGCAAAGGCATTCCTGATGGATGAGCTCCGCTCACCACTTGATCTCGACAAGATCGTCGCCAGTGCGACCTGTCCGGAATCGGCTGCCGAAATCTATGCGGCTTCCCGTCTGGCCATCGATCCGGACCATCCCGCTGAAAGGGCCTATCTGCAGATGCTCGCCGCGCGTCTCGGCCTGGAACCTGGCCTCATCGATGAGATTGAACTGGCCGTCCGTGAAGCGGAAATGGCGGAATAGTCAGACAACCAGCTCGGCTATTGCGCGTTGGAAAATGGTCGTCCCGGCCTTGATCCGGGTTCATTGAAAAACAGGGATATGAGGCCCCGGCTCAAGGCCGGGGCAGCAATGACAAGCGTGCTACGTCAGAGGCTCGCTTTCGCTTGGCATCGGTCCGACATAATGCGACGCCGGACGAATGAGTTTGCCGGTCTGCTGCTGCTCCAGAACGTGGGCGCACCAGCCCGGTGTCCGCCCGGTCGCAAAAAGCGGCGTGAACAGCGCACGGTCGATCCCGATCGCGTCCAGAAGAACTGCCGTGTAAAACTCGACATTCGTGTCCAGCGGCCGGTCCGGCTTGGCCCTTTTCAATGCGGCAAGAGCTGCCAGTTCGATCTCTTCGGCAAGCTTTACCTTCGGATTGTCTGGTCCGAGAAGTTTCAGACCGGCTTTCAATACATCCGCGCGGGGGTCCCGTGTCCGGTAGATACGGTGCCCGAATCCCATCAGCCGTTCCTTTCTTTCAAGCGCGCCGGTGATCCAGTCATCTGCATTGTCCGGACTTCCGATCGCGTCGATCATGTCGAGTACCGGCCCGGGGGCACCGCCATGCAGCGGCCCGCTGAGAGCTCCCATGGCGCCCAGAACGGCCTGTTTCATGTCGGCCTGCGTCGATCCGATCACGCGCGCCGTAAAGGTGGAGGCATTGAGGCCGTGATCGAGGATCGTCACCAGATATCTGTCGAGCGCGCGTGCGTGCGCTTCCGGAGGTGTTTCGCCTGTCAGCATGCGCAGGAGGTCGGTTGCCACGGGCAGCGTGCTGTCCGGTGCCAGCGATCTCGTTCCAGACGCGATCCGGTGGGCGGCGGCAAGAAAAACCGGCAAGGCGCCGCCAATGGCAATTGCTTCCGGCAATCCCCTGTTCAAGGGCAGTGCAGCCAGGCCAAGCTGCATGCGCTCATAGACGGACAGCGAATCCGGCGCGCTTTCCAGGAGCGGTACCACGGCAAAAGCGGCAATTCTCGCTTCTCCAAACGCGTATTTTACGGGTCTTGCCTCTGCTACGCCAAGGCCCTGCCAAAGATGCGCAACGGCGTCTTCAAAGGAGACCCTGCCGGCGAGATCTTCAATCGTCCTGCCACGAAGAACTAGAACGCCATTCTGTCCGTCGACGTCACTGAGGCTCGTTGTGGCGGCAACGACCCCTTCAAGGCCGGCGACAGGATCCTGGGTCATTTGAGCCGGATTTGGCACTTCGGTCATGGTCAGCTCCTATTGTTCAGTTTCCGTTTGATATGCCATCAACATTGCATTGATCAATGTTGACAATTAGAATCAATATATGAGCACACCTATCTACCTTTCCGCCCGCGAAGCAGCAGCCGAGCTTGGTGTCCAGCCGGCAACACTATATGCCTATGTCAGCCGCGGACTGATTTCCTCCGTCGCCGGACCGGGCAAGAAGCGACGCTACGATGCTACGGATGTCCGAAGGCTTAAGGGCCGCAGGGCTGCCGAGGACCACGCGGGTGCCCGGCCGCTGACTGGTGATCCGGTTCTTGAAACCGAACTGACGCTGATCGCCGAAGACGGGCCCGTCTATCGTGGCCGGTCCGCTTTGGATCTTGCCGAGACATCGACACTTGAAACCGTTGCAACGCTGCTATGGGCATCCGGTGAAGACCCGTTTGCCGGCAATGTGCCGCAAAAACCACCTGCGATGCCCGAAGGGCTCCCCGCGCTGGACAGGCTTATGATGGCGCTTGCCGCCTGGCCACTTCAGGACAAGGCGGCCTTCACGCTTGCACCCAGACTTCTGCAGACAAAGGGTGCGGCCCTTCTGCGATATTCGGTCGCCGCACTTTTGGGCAAGGAGCCTGTGGCTATTCCGATCCACACCCAAATTGCAAACGCCTATGGCGCGTCGTCGTCGGCAAAAAACCTGATCCGGGCCGCTCTCGTGCTGTGCGCGGATCATGAACTCAACACCAGTGCGTTCACCGCGCGATGCGCGGCCTCCACGCGCGCTCCACTTCATGCGGCGCTGCTGTCAGGCCTCGGTGCTTTTGCCGGCCCGCGACACGGGGCCGCGCCGGATCGCGCCACAGCCTGGCTGGCGGAAATCCAACCCGAAACCGACATTGAGGAAATGCTTGCCGACAGGCTGGCGCGCGGAGAGACGCTACCGGGATTCGGTCATTCGGTTTATCAGGGCCGGGATCCGCGTGCCGTTTGCCTGCTCGACATTCTGTGCCGGACTGAAGGCAGTGATCCCTTTGTCGAGCGCCTGCCGGGGTTGATAAAGGCAGCGGATGATCTCTTCGGCTTGCCACCGAATATCGACCTGGCTCTCGCCGTGATCCAGAAAACCTACGATCTGCCGAAAGATGCCGGCAAGATCATTTTCTGCGCCGGGCGCATGACCGGCTGGATAGCCCATGCGCTGGAGCAATATGCGTCTCATGAAAAGATCCGGCCCCGCGCGGCCTATGTGGGGGAGCGACCGGAATAGTCGTGCGCGGATGACACCACCTGGCTGTGCCTATCTTGAAAACTCCGTTGCAAGCCACTAGCTTCGTTTTGCGCCAGCAGCGGCGCGATCAATGGAGATTGGATGTTAGAGCTTGCCTGAGCCGGCTCTCTGAATAGCAGAGAGCCGTAAATACATGAACCGGCGTCCGTCTGGGCGCCCGATGACGTGTGTTTAAGTCTCGAGACATCCCATGACACGAAATTATCAGAAATTCTTTCCTCCCGGCACGCAACGTGGAGGAACAGACCGGCAACTCTCCCCTTTGGAGGAACTCGGCTGGCAACCTCACTTTGCGCAACAGATCAGTTCGGACGAACTTGTCGGAACACCTCCCGTCCGTGTAGTTGAAGTGCATCGCAACGGGCTTCACGTTATTGGCTCGGCGGTCGACGAAGTCATTCCACCGCGTGCGGATGCGACGGTTGGGGACTGGATCTTGCTGGATCCCGGGCATGTGCCTTCAAGCCGAGTGCTGGAACGCAAGAGCCTGCTGAAGCGCCGCGCACCGGGAACGGATCGGCAGGTCCAGTTGATCGCCGCGAATATCGAAACGGCATTCATCGTTTCATCCTGCAATCAGGATTTCAATATCGCGAGGCTGGAACGCTATGTAGCAGTCTGCTTCGAGGCAGAGATTGACCCGGTTATCCTCCTGACGAAGTCCGACCTTGTTTCAGACCCGCAGGCATTTGCCGACGAAGCTGCTGCCATTTCAAAGCTGGCGCCCGTCATCACTCTCGATGCGCGTGGCGATCAACCGAAATCCAAACTGGCTGATTGGTGCAAGCCTGGTAAAACGGTCGCGTTTCTCGGCTCGTCGGGTGTTGGCAAATCGACTTTGGCAAATGCCCTTTCCGGAACACGGTCCATCGCGACGCAGGCGATCCGGGAAGACGATGCCAAGGGCCGTCATACGACGACGCGTCGGCAACTGCACCTGGTGTCAGGAGGCTGCCTCGTTCTGGATACGCCCGGCATGCGCGAGCTGCAGCTCATGGATGCCGCCTCCGGCATCGAGGATCTGTTTGCGGATCTCAACGAGTTGTCGGCAAATTGCAAGTTCAAGGACTGCAGGCACGAGACTGAACCGGGGTGTGCGGTCCAAAATGCAATCCAGTCCGGTGATCTGGATGGTGCCAGATTGCAAAGATGGCGGAAGCTGAAGGCTGAAGAGGCTTTCAATTCTGCGAGCCTTGCTGAGCGGCGATCCAAAGACAAGGCGTTCGGCAAGATGGTTCGCCGGGTCGTGAAAGCCAAGGAAAACCGGAACAGACGAACCGAGTAAGTCACTCTGAACTTTCAGGACAGCAGGGGGTGGAACCCGGGAACAAAGCGCGCATTAATGCGCTGGTTATCCCGGGTTCGCATCCAGCGTGTTTTGTGAATCTACATTTATCCCGGCTTAAATGTCTTGAACTGAACATCATAGAATTGGGGTGCGAAACGTGTCGGGTATTGCCGAACATGTCGTCAACATCATGTTGCCTGTGCTGCTATGCGTTCTGCTCGGCTATGCACTCGCCTGTTTCAAGGCACCATTTGACCGCAAACTCTTCGGTTCGCTTGTCTCGAATGTCGGCTATCCCGCGCTGATCCTGTCTCATCTGGCGAAGGAACATATTCAGCTTGAGACTTTTCTAACCGTTCTGGCGGCAGCAGTGGGCATGATTGCGATCTTCGGTGTCATTGGCTTGATCGTGATGAAATTGTTGCGCATCCCGCTCAGGGCCTATCTGCCGCCGATGATGCTGTCGAATGTCGGCAATATCGGCCTGCCGGTTTCAACGCTCGCTTTCGGCCCGGAAGGTGCTGCCGTTGCGATCGGTTTCATCGTTGTCGTACTGACCGCAATTTTCACCATCGGTATCGCGATACCGATGGGACGTCCCGATTTCAGGGCACTTGTGCGCCAGCCCGTTATCTATGCGGTCATCTTCGCCCTGGTCTTGCTTGCAACCGAATGGAAAATTCCGGAGCCCGTGGACCAGAGTCTCGAAATTCTGGGGGGGCTTGCCATTCCGATCATGTTGCTGACGCTCGGACACAGCCTCGAGACATTGAAGTTCGGTGGCGTCACGCGCGCCGTGATCCTATCAGTCACCCATATCGGGGTTTCGGCAATCGCAGCCCTCGCGATTACGCAGGTTCTGACCCTGGATGCCACAATTGAAAGCGTGATCATACTGTTGTGTTTCATGCCCCCGTCGGTCGCAACCTACCTGGCCATCTCACAACATCAGCCTGATGAGGCCGATGGCGTTGCCGGGTTCATTTTCGTGTCCACCTGTCTGACACTTGTGACCCTGCCGATCGTTCTGACCTATTGGGCAACCGGTTAGGGCTCCGGTCAACGGATTGAGACAATTGACCGGAATCCAGGAGCACGCAACGCATGTGAACGACAAGCTTGTCGCCACGCTGCCATTTCAGAGGCCTCTGACTGTGCGTGGTCTCCTTTTGCTCAGGGCCGGGCTTTCATGAAGGCTTCGAAGTCACTCATTCCCTGCGCCCGGTCAAAACATCCGAAGGCGCCGCCGTCTTTCATATCCTCGGCGGCTGCAACGAAGGCTCCGAGCGCAATCCGGGCAAGACCTGCACCGATTGAAACACGGGCGACCCCCATATCCGCCAGCTCTTTCCGGGTCAGGTGGAAATTCTTGCGTCCGGCGAGCACATTCATCGGTGCCTTGACGGCGGCAAGAACGGCGGAAATCTGGTCTTTTTCCTTGAGCTGGGGCGCATAGACGCAATCTGCACCGGCTTCGACGAATGCGTTCAGTCGCTTGATGGTCTCGTCCAGCTCATGTTGGGTCTTGACCGGTCCTTCGCTGCGGGCCGTCAGAACGAAATCCGTCGCAAGCCTGTTCTTCGCGTCCACCGCAGCCTTGATCCGTTCGACCGCTTCTTCCAGCGGATAAATTGGGTCCTGCGGGTTGGTCGTGTAGTCCTCGATCGAGCAGCCGGCAAGGCCAACCTCAATCGCGCCTTTTACCGTTTCCACGACGTCTTCAGGGCTGTGGCCAAACCCGTTTTCCAGATCACCGTTCACGGGTAAGCTCGTTGCGCTGATGATGTCGGCCGCGTGGCCAAGCGCGTCGTCACGGCTGATAAGACCTTCGGCATCGCGCACACCCTGCGTCCAGGCATATCCTGCGCTGGAGGTTGCCAGGGCATCGAAGCGCATGCCGTCGAGAACACGTGCTGAACCGATGTCAAAGGGGTTGGGCATCAAAAACGCCCGTCCGTTTTCATGAAGGGCTTTGAATGCGGCGCGGCGGCTGGCTGCGGTCAGCATGATACGCTTCTCCCAAAGGTTGTTGAAACAAGATTATATTATCTAGAGTTTATTTCCGATGTCATCCCTTTCCGGCAACGCTTTCAAAACTTGAATGCGGATGCCAGACCCAGTTTATCCAAAAATCAGGTACCGGTTGGGCAGGCAGAACCGGACGCCAGGGCTGTCGACAAACGAAAATGGGAGGCACCGTTTCCAGGTCGCCTCCCGTGATACTGAGCGCAAACTATGGCGGTTTAACCGACAGAGCGCGTAACCTTTGCGGCAAAACAACCGCGGCGGGCATAGTGCAGGTGCAGGTAGTCGACTTTTGGATCAGCAAAAAAAGTCGCAATCAGATCCTGGACGTCGCTGCCTTCGATAACGTCTGCATCGACCATTTCATGAGTTTTGTCGAAAGCCCGCACTGAAAGAAACCTGCTGGCAATGCAGGCCGGGACCGAGCCTGGCAGGGGATGATCCTCGACGGCCCCGTCCTTGACAAAAACAGCGTGACGGGAGCGGTACGGAGTATCGCCAGGCTGATGTTCGAAGTTCAGGAGAAAAACACGTTCTCCTTCCGCGGCATCCGCAAGCGAGACGCGGCAGGGAAAGGCACCGTCTGAAAGGTGCACCTGAACGTTTCGGGCAGCAAGATCCTCGTCAGACATGCTGTAAAGGTGGGCGAACGAGCCTGCCGGCAGGGGGTGTACCTGAAACATGAATGGATCTCCTCAATAGATGTTGAGCGACCCTAGTGTCCGGGTCACATGCAGGCGACCCGATTTGCGAGCGATCAGGTTTCGGATATCTGCTGACGATGCCAGCCGACCAGCAGGATCATGCCCATGATGATGAGATAAGGCAGGTAGAAGCGTGTCTCGTAATGCGGGAAAACGAGATATTTGGCGCAGATTGATGCGAAAACCGCATAAAGCAGAACACGGGACCTTTGGTCCATCCTGTCCGGCACGACGCATTTTGCAAAAAACAGAATGAGTGCGAAAAGCAACGCGATCCATGAGAAGCCCATCAAGGATCTGACCGTCGAACGCATGAGCATCTCCAGATAGGTCCCGATCGAAAACGCCGGTTTGAAATCCTTGAGGGTCGGCGCGTATTCGATATGCGTGAACCACATGTGGATCCACCAGCCGGGATGGTCCGAACCGCGGGTGATCCAGAGATAGGTTACCAGACAAGCCGCAAAGCAGCAGGCCTGAATCCAGCGCCCCGGCCCGTATATCGCGGCAAACACGAAGAAGACGCCGATGAAGGCGAGATGATCAGGCCGCGTGAGGAAGGCAGCGACAAGGGTCAGTGCAGCTGGAATATCCAGCTTCTCCACGTAGAAGAACGCGGCCAGGACCAGGAAGAATGTTGCATAGAGATCGGGCGTGATGAGGAGCGCGGCGTAGCCGAAAGTGGACAGCATCAGGAAAGCAGCAACGACGGGCCCGTACATCAGCGTTCCGGTCCGCGCGAGCCATGCCAGCAACACCACGCCGATGGCGAGTACCGACATCATTGAAATCATCCGGAGCGCTTCGACGGGACCTGCAAGATCTGCAAGCAGTCTGGCGGTCTCGACATAAAGGACCTTCAGACGGTAAAAACCGAGCATTGTGTGAAAGGCTTCCGCGTCCCTTGCCTGGCGTACCCTGTAGGGCCGGTCCTCGGTCAACGTTATGAATTCGCCTTCCGTGACATTGTCTTTCACCAGGGAATAGGATTGCCGGTGCAGCGCAGTCACGTCGTCAGTGTCACTTTCCAGGACAACCGCCGTATAGGCGAACATGTCCCAGTTGGAGACCGGAAAAATCTGAACGACGGCCGCCGTCATCAGGACAAAGACGCCGAGAACACAGGCACCTATCCAGCTGCGCAGAGGCCGGTAAACCCTGCACACGGCATGAAAAACCGTCAGGAAAATTCCTTCCAGATTACGCTGTGCAAAATTGGACATGCCTGAAGCCTCGCTGACGGGTCGCGTTCAGTTGTCGCAAAGTCTCGTAAGAATTGCGTAAACGAGGTCACCTGCCGCGTCGCGCCATGCCGACAGAGCGTGGTGCGGTTTCACGAAAGCCGAACTGCTCATAGAGGTGATTTGCCGGAACATCCGCAATCAGACTGACATAAACCGAGCGTGGCAGCCTTGTTTCGATGAAAGCGGTCAGTGCACTCATGATCTCCTTGCCAAGACCCCGGCCCTGGTAGTCCGGATGAACGACTACATCGGTGACTTGTACAAAGCAGCCACCGTCACCCACCAGACGTCCCATGCCGATTGGCCGGTCCTTGTCGAAAAGCATCACTGAATGGAGGCTGTTTTTCAGCCCGATATCCGCCGCATCCCTGTCGTATGAGCTCAATCCACCTGCGGCGCGCAGGCTGAGATAGGTGTCTGTATCTGGCGTTTGCCCGGTCAAACTGATTGTCATGTCGGTTTGGCTGTCCCTGTATGAGTCGGATAGTCACTGTTTTGTTGCGGCCGGGTTGAAGCGACTACACCGAATTCAGTTCGTTTTCGATGTCTGTTTCTACAAGTGGATAGCTTGACCGCACGGTTCTCTCGTGCCTCCATCGCGCAAACAAGGTTTGGAGGACTGATGCGCGATCTCGGCTCATGGGATTATGTGATTGTCGGCGCCGGGACGGCTGGGTGCGTTTTGGCGAACCGGTTGTCGGAAGACCCGGACGTAAAGGTGCTGCTGCTCGAGGCCGGCAAGAAAGACAACTATATCTGGATCCACATCCCTGTCGGATATCTGCATTGTATCGGCAATCCGCGTGTGGATTGGGGGTTCAAGACCGCACCGACGTCTGGTCTCAACGGTCGCTCGTTGCTCTATCCGCGCGGCAAGGTTTTGGGCGGCTGTTCATCGATCAACGGCATGATCTACATGCGCGGTCAGGCATGGGACTACGATCACTGGCGCCAACTCGGACTTGCAGGGTGGGCGTGGGACGATGTCCTGCCCTATTTCCGCAAATCGGAGGATCACTACGCCTGGGACGACGAGTCTCACGCTCAGGGTGGAAATCTGCGTGTCGAAGAGCAAAGGATGACCTGGGAGCTGCTGGACGCGTTTCGCGTCGCGTGCGAACAGAACGGCATTCCGAAGACGAAAGATTTCAACGGCGGGGACAATTTCGGATCCGCCTACTTTCAGGTGACACAGAAATCCGGTGTCCGTTGGAATGGTGCCAAGGCGTTTCTGCGCCCCGCCGGTGATCGCCCCAACCTCAATGTGTTGACCGAAGCCCATGTGGACCGGCTGGAATTCGAAAATGGAACCGTAACAGGTCTCAAGCTGGAAGTCGGTGGCGAGGCCGCCACCGTGAAGATAGATGGCGAGTTGATCCTGTCGGCCGGCGCGATCGGGTCTCCCCAAATTCTGGAACTGTCAGGCATCGGAAATCCGGAAATTCTGAAAAAGGCTGGTATCGAGCCACGCCACGAAAACCGCAGCATCGGTGAAAACCTTCAGGATCACCTGCAACTGAGACCGGTCTTCAAGGTCCGGAATGCGTTGACGATGAACGAACTCGCCGGGTCTTGGGCCGGCAAGGCGAAGATCGGTCTTGAATACATTTTCAAAAGGTCCGGACCGATGGCTATGGCACCGAGCCAGTTGGGTGTCTTTGCCAAGACCGATCCGTCCTTTGAAACGGCCAACGTCCAATATCATGTTCAGCCCTTGTCGTTGCCGAAATTCGGTGAGCCGTTGCACAGTTTCCCGGCAATGACCGCAAGCGTTTGCAATCTGCGTCCTGAAAGCCGGGGCCATGTCCATATCGCGTCACCGGAAAAAACCGCTCAGCCGGAAATCCAGCCCAACTATCTTTCTGCCGAAGCGGACAAACGGGTCGCGGCTGATGCCATTCGATTGACCCGCCGGATCATGGCAGCTCCGGCCATGCAACCCTATCAACCCGAGGAATATCTGCCTGGTCCGGACTTCACCAGTGAGGATGACCTGGTAAGCGCAGCGGGCAATATCGGCACCACGATTTTCCACCCCGTAAGCACATGCCGCATGGGTGTCGACGAAGCGTCCGTGGTCGACGAGCGTCTGAGGCTCCGGGGGTTCGGCAATATTCGGGTCGTCGATGCATCGGTCATGCCGACAATAACGTCCGGAAACACCAATGCACCGACGGTCATGATCGCTGAAAAGGGATCTGACATGATCCGCGAAGACAGGCGCGCGAGCGCCTAACGCCTTATAGAAGTCAGTTTCTTGATGGACTGGCTGTTTGACCGATTGCAGATCCGGAGTGTGAATGTTCCCTCGCCTGTTTCTTGTCATTGGCTTTCTGTTGGCGACGCTCACTCAGCCGTTGGCAGGATCGAGCCTGACGGTGTTCGCGGCTGCCAGCATGCGCGAAGCCATGGAACGGATTGGACAGGTTTACGAGGTTGAGACCGGCAACAGTGTGATTTTCTCCTTTGCAGGAACGGGAATACTGGCCAGGCAGATTGAGGCTGGCGCGCCGGCCGACCTGTTCATATCCGCCGATGACGCGTGGATGAATTACGTCATCGAACGGGACGCTGTTGTCCCCGGAACGGTCCGGCTGATCGCATCGAATGAACTTGTCCTGATCGGGGCAAAGGGAACGGAACGCCTTGATTTGAGCGAGACTCGGATCACCGGCGCGCTGGACGGTGGGCGCATGGCGATCGCCGATACGGAAACCGTACCGGCCGGTCGGTATGGCAAGGCGGCGCTTGAAAGTCTTGGTCTTTGGAAAACTGTTTCGGCCCGACTGGCGCCAATGGAAAACGTCAGGATTGCCCTTGCATCCGTGGCCCGAGGGGACACACCGCTCGGTCTTGTCTACCGCACCGATGCTGCAATTGAGCCGGAAGTCGCGGTCGTGGCGGAACTGCCTGCGGAAAGCTATCCGGAGATCCGGTATCTTGCCGCCTTGACCGAAGGACGTCCGGATCCGGCTGCCGAGGCCTTTCTCGACTTTCTCTCCGGTCAAGAGGCACGAGAAATCTTGCAATCTCTGGGGTTTGTGACCGATAAGGTGGAATAGACCGCACAAGCACTGGCGGTCGGATTGACCAGCAGACCGGGCGAACGTGGACTTTTTCAATCTTCAACCCGACGAATGGCAGGCTCTGACCCTGACCTTGAGAGTCGCCGCAGCCGCGCTTCTGGTGACACTGCCCCTTGCGATTCTGGTTGCCTACATTCTGGCCCGCTACCGGTTTCCGGGGCATGGTTTCGTCAATGCCCTGGTGCATTTGCCCCTTGTTCTTCCACCTGTTGTCACCGGATACGTTCTGCTGCTGACATTCGGGCGAAAGGGGCCGATCGGTGTTTTTCTCGACAATCTCTTCGGGATCAGCTTTGCGTTCAACTGGACCGGTGCCGCACTCGCTGCAAGTGTCATGTCATTTCCGCTGATCGTGCGCCCGATCCGTCTGTCTTTCGAGGCCGTGGATCCCAAGCTTGAGGACGCCGCCAGGTCGCTCGGTGCACACCGGTTTGTCGGGTTTCTGACCGTGACACTTCCTCTTGCGCTGCCCGGCATACTGGGCGGTGCGATTCTCGGATTTGCAAAGGCAATGGGGGAATTCGGCGCAACGATTACGTTTGTCTCCAACATCCCGGGGGAAACCCGCACACTGGCGCTTGCTCTCTACACAGCGACCCAGACACCCAGTGGCGATCTTGCAGCCTTCAGGTTGACACTGATAGCCGTTGTCGTCGCCTTTGCGGCATTGATCGCGTCGGAACTGCTTGCGCGCCGTCTGCAGACGCGGCTGGGAGGCGGCAATGCTTGAGGTCGACATATCAGGCAAGGTCGGCGCTCTTGAGTTCCAGGCGCAATTTGAAAGCGAAGGCGGGGTAACCTCGCTGTTCGGACAATCGGGTGCAGGCAAGACGACCCTCACCAACATGATCGCGGGGCTTGTCAAACCGGACAGGGGCCGGATCGCGCTCGACGGCACAGTCCTGTTTGATGCCGCCAAGGGGATAAATCTGCCGGTTCAGCGGCGGTGCATCGGTCATGTCTTTCAGGATGCACGCTTGTTTCCGCATTTGAGTGTCAAATCGAACCTCACATATGCGCGCTGGGCTGGTGGCAGGTCCGGCAGTCGAGATTTCAACGAAGTTGTCGAACTGCTGGGATTGTCCGCCCTGCTCGGACGCAAGCCGGAAACATTGTCCGGCGGGGAGAAGCAGCGTGTTGCGATAGGTCGCGCGCTTTTGTCAGATCCGCACCTCCTCATCATGGATGAACCGCTGGCAAGTCTCGATCAGGCACGGCGCAACGATATTTTGCCATATCTGGACAGGCTCTGCGTTGATGCAGGTATCCCGATCCTCTATGTCAGCCATTCCATTGAGGAAGTCGCCCGGCTTTCCAGCACGCTGGTGATCCTTTCCGAAGGTCGCACACCCGCCTATGGTCCTGTCGCCGAGATGCTGACGAGAACAGACCTTGGTCGGGCGACAGGTCGTCATGAGGCTGGAGCGCTTGTGCATGGCAATGTGACCGATATCGACGCAAACTGGGGCCTGACCTTTGTCGATATTGGCGGTGCGGTGCTTCAGATACCGGATCTTCCGGCCGAGGCCGGTGACACGGTAAGGCTTCGTATTCGCGCGCGTGATGTCGCCCTGGCCGTGGAGCCGCCGAAGGGTTTGTCGATCCGCAACGCCTTCCAGGCGAGAATTACCAGCATATCCGAAGAATCGGGTCCCTATGCGGAAATCCTGTGCGCGCTTGAAGATCAAACGATCCGCGCGCGTATCACGCGCGCTTCCGTTGCAGACCTTGAATTGTTTACCGGCAAGGAGGTGACTGTGCTGGTCAAGAGCGTTGCCATCGATCGCCGCCAACGCAACCTGGTCTAGAACTCGCGCGAAAAAAATGCCGGCCGATTTTCAAACAGGCTCCCGAGCGACCCTCAAATCGGCACTATTGGCTGGTTTGGTCAATTTCACGGCAGAATTTCCTGCAGTATACTGGTGAGATGATACGCAGACCAAAGCGCCTGACATGGCGCAAGCTTAAATTCGGGATCGGAGCCGGTCTGGTTTTAGCCACCCTGGTAGTAGTGTGGCTGACGGGTTTGGCCAGCCTGCGGATCACACTTGCTGAAGCCGAAACACGTGCCGCGGCCAATCTCGCCGTTCAGACCGCAGCCCTGGAACGGCTCCTGGACAAATTCCGTCTTCTGTCACCGCTTCTGGCCCGGGGCCCGGAAGTCGCGCGCTTCTATTATTCGGAAAACTTGAACACGGAGCCGGGTATTGCCGCAATCGCCGCAGGCATGTCCGGAGCGGAAGAAGTCTGGCTGATGGATGCGTCCGGTAAAGTGATCGTCTCCAGCCAGGACAGCGTTCCCGTCAATGCAATCGGTGATGCATCCACCATCCCACATGCCTTCAGACAGGCAAAACAGGGCCAGCTGGGGCGAGAACTGATCCCGGGCACACCGGAGACGCCTTCGAACTATGTATTTGCCTCTCCGCTGCGCAGAGGAGAGACCTTCCTTGGGGTTCTTGCTGTTCGTGTGAGCCTGGATGATGTCGAGCAGGCCTGGGCTTTGAGCAAGGACCCGATCCTGGCGCTGGACGACGGAAGGGTCGTTGTCTCCAACGTGCCGGCGCTGCGCGGAATGACGGTGGACAGGCTTGACCCGAGCTGGAACGTTGCGGACCTTTCTCTCGCTGGACGACTGCATCTTCTTTTGCCGGCCGCCAGTGCGGCGAGCACCCACATGCAATTGACGTCCAATCTTCCGGTTCTGGATTGGCAGATCCGGACTCTTGTCGACATCGGCGATGCGCGCCGGCAGTCCGGTTGGGCAATGCTCGTCGCTTTGCTGGTGTGCGTGATTGCCGCCGGCGGCATCTGGTTTCTGATCACGCGCCGTGAGGAATTCGTTCGTGAAGAACGACGCAATCGCGCATCTGCACTCAGGCTGGAAAGGCGCGTCCAGAGCCGGACGGCGGAGCTGCGCCGCGCCAACGCGCACCTGGAGCGGGAGGTGAGTGAGCGCCAGCAGGCCGAGGCCAATCTGCGCCAGACTCAGGCGGAGCTGGTCCAGGCTGCCAAGCTGGCAACGCTGGGTCGGATGTCGGCTGCGCTCAGCCACGAGTACAATCAGCCGCTTGCTGCCATAAGGTCGGATGCCGAGATTGCCGAAATGTTGATCGACAGGGGCAGGGCCGAAGAAGCACGAGGAAACCTGACGCGAATCGGTGGCATGGTGAAACGGATGGGTGAAATCGCCAAGACCCTGAAGGGGTTCACGCGCAAGTCGGGTACCGACATCAAACCGGTTTCGCTTCGCCAGGTCATTGATGAGGCCATGCTGCTGCTTCGTCCGCAGATCAAGCAAAGCGGTTTTGTACTGTCTTTGGACTTGCCGGATGAGGACATAATCGTGAAGGGCGGACGTATTCGTCTGGAGCAGGTGGTCATCAACCTGCTGTCCAATGCGCTCGATGCCGTGCAGGCGAGCCCGGCGCCGCTGATCAGCCTCTCGCTCATCCGGGAGGGCGATGAAGCGGTGCTTGAAGTCACGGACAATGGTACCGGTATCGATGAAGAGGTTCTGCCCCAGATTTTCGACCCGTTTTATACGACCGAGGATGTCGGTTCGGGGCTCGGTCTGGGCTTGTCGATTGCCTACAAAATCGTCCATGACTTCTCCGGGTCGCTCAAAGCGGCGAATCGGGAGGGCGGCGGTGCTGTCTTCACCATGCGCCTTCCGGTGGCGGATGAGCGCGTGCTGGCAGCGGAATAGGAAAAATGGATCAGGCAACGGTTCTGTTGATCGACGATGAGGAAGCGCTTCGGGGTTCCTTGAGCCAGGGGCTGGAACTGACAGGTCAGGACGTCTTTGCCTCCGGAAGGCCGGAAAGTGCACTTGAGCGCATCAACCGGGACTTCTACGGCGTCCTGGTGACCGATATCCGCATGCCGGGGACCGACGGATTTCAGGTGATGAAAAACGCCTTTGAAATCGATCCGGCGCTCCCTGTTGTACTGATTACCGGACATGGTGACGTACCGCTTGCGGTCGAGGCGATGCGCGCAGGCGCGTACGATTTCCTTGAAAAGCCGTTCTCCGTTGCGCATCTCGCCTCTGTGGTGGAACGCGCGCTGGACAAGCGCCGGCTGGTTCTTGAGAACAGGAAGCTGCGCGAGGAACTGGCGGACAGAACCGGGCTTGAAAGCCGCCTCGTCGGGCGCACACCGGCGATGGATCTGCTGCGCAAAAACGTGATGGCGCTTGCTGCGACAGACGCCGACATCCTGATTCTGGGAGAGACAGGATCAGGCAAGGAGGTGGTTGCACGGGCACTCCACGATGAAGGACCTCGCAAGGACAAGCCCTTCGTTGCGCTGAACTGCGGCGCTTTGCCGGCCGAGATCATCGAATCGGAACTGTTCGGCCACGAGAAAGGCGCATTTACCGGTGCCAGCGGACAAAGGATCGGCAAGCTTGAACACGCCCATGGCGGCACGGTCTTTCTCGACGAGATCGAATCCATGCCCCTGGAACTTCAGGTCAAACTGCTTCGGGTCATAGAAACGCGAACCATCGAGCGGCTTGGCTCCAACAAGGCGATTGAACTGGATGTTCGTTTCGTTGCCGCGACAAAGGAAGACCTGGAAGCCGCCGGCAAGGCAGGCCGTTTCCGGCTGGATCTCTTTTATCGCCTCAATGTCGTCAACGTCGAGATCCCGCCGCTGCGCGACCGTATCGAGGATATACCGCTGTTGTTCCGGCATCTGGCCGTCGAGGCCAGGGCGCGCTACCGTCGCGAAATTCCCGACATCGGCGAGCTTTACCTTGCCGACCTGATGGCACGCGATTGGCCGGGTAACGTTCGGGAGTTGCGAAACGTGGCCGACCGGTTCGTGCTTGGGCTTGAACAGCAATCCGATCCTCAGTCTTCCAACGGCTCCAGTCTGTTCGAACAGATCGCGACTTACGAGCGTGCGCTTATTGCAGCTGAACTCAAGCGCAACGGCGGCGTGATCAAACCGACTTATGAAAATCTGGGTCTTTCGCGAAAGGCACTTTACGAAAAGATGCGTAAACACGGACTTGGAAAAGACGAGATCGACGCTGTGTGACGGTTACCCGGTTTTTTTCAGCCTGTTCGTCACAATAGGGACTGTCCGTTCGTCAAAGGAGTGTTACTCCCGTAAACTTCTCCAGGAAGACACCAATGACGACTGCCAATCCAATCAACTATCAGGACTTCATCCCTTCGGTACTTCAGCGGTTTGTGGCTGCCAGCGGAGAGATCGGCAAGTCCGACCTTGATCCTAAACTGCATCACCTGCTGGATCTCAGGGCATCTCAGATCAATCAGTGCGCCTATTGCGTAAAGATGCATAACAAGGAAGCTCTGGATGATGGCGAAAGCCAGGAACGTCTGCAGCGCCTGACCGTCTGGCGGCATGTCGAGGATTTCACGCCTGCGGAAAAGGCCGCATTGGCCTGGACTGAAGCCTTGACGAACCTTGATCCGAAGACGGACTATTCCGTTCTCAGAGCCGATCTGCGCTCCCACTTCTCCGACGGTGAAATCAGCGCGATCACATCTTCGGTGGCGATGATCAATCTCTGGAACCGGATACAGGTCTCGAACCACTGATGCGGCGATGATGTCCAGAAACGATTTCTTTGAACAGGCGCGGCCACGTCTGCTCGGCCTGGCGTATCGGATGCTCGGCTCCATGGCCGACGCCGAGGATGCGGTTCAGGATACCTTTGTCAAATGGCAGAGCGTGGACGGAAACACGGTTTCAAATCCTGAAGCCTTTCTGACCACGATTTGCACAAATCGTTGCCTGGATTATCTCAAGGCTGCTCACAGGAAACGGGTCGACTATGTCGGCCCGTGGATTCCCGAGCCGCTTCAGACCGATGCCGGTTCCGATCCGGAAACCGATCTGGAGCGGGCTCAATCGTTGACGACGGCGTTTCTCATGCTGCTGGAAAGGCTGACGCCAAAGGAAAGGGCGGCTTATCTGCTTCGGGAAGTGTTCGGAAAACCTTATCCGGAAGTCGCCGACACGCTGCAGATGAGCGAAGCCGGATGCCGTCAACTGGTCTCGCGCGCGGGCCGGTTTGTCCGGTCGCATTCTTCAAGGTCTGTTCCCACTCCTGACCAGCAAAGTGCTCTACTCAAGGCATTCATGTCTGCGCTTGCAACCGGATCGACGGACAAATTGGCGGCGCTTCTGGCAGACTCTGTTCAGCTTCGGACGGATGGAGGTGGAAAGGCCACCGCGATCACCCGCACGCTCCAGGGATCGGATGTCGTTTCCAAATACATCGCCAAAATCCTCAGCCGCTTGTGGACGGAAGACCGGACTGTCGAGATTGAAATCAACGGATTGCGAGGTCTGGTCGAGTACGACGGTGCGCGCATTGTGACTGCGACGACGTTGGGATTTGACACGTCCGGACTGGTCGACCAGGTGTTCATGATCCGAAACCCCGAAAAGCTTGCACGACTTGAAAATCGCATTCACCACGATGCGAAAAGCGGCGCTCTTTGGCGCTGAGCAATGTGTCGGTTTCGACACATTGGACGCATCGCATGTGTCAGGTGCCACCCATTTTCGACAAGATGACCTTCCCGGCGACCGGAATTTTTGAAAGCACCCGCCGGAATCCTGTCGTTTTACCCAGGAACTCAAAGTTGGCACACGCCTTGCGAATAAGCGCAGGACCAGCCTCTGTGCTGTCCGGCCAAGCAAATGGCCGCCTTACCAAAATGTCTGGGAGGACATCCGATGAAAAAATTTGTAATCGCCGCCGCTGCTGCGGCTTCCTTTGCCATGACATCCGCTGCCCAGGCGGCCGATGAATGCGGCGACGGCGAAGTTGTCATCAAGTTCAGCCACGTGGTTTCGGCCCAGGGTCACCCGAAAGGTGAGATGGCAACAGCGCTTGCCAACCGGATCAACACCGAGATGGATGGCAAGGCCTGCATGCAGGTGTTCCCGTCTTCACAGCTGTTTGACGACAACAAGGTGATGGAAGCCCTGCTTCTTGGCGATGTTCAGCTTGCAGCACCGTCCCTGTCGAAATTCGAGTCCTACACGCTGAAATACCGCGTCTTCGACCTGCCGTTCCTGTTCACCAACATGGACGCTGTGACCACCTTCACCAAGGGCGAAAAGGGTCAGGAACTTCTGGGCGCCATGTCCGACTACGGTTTTGTCGGTCTTGGTTATGTCTTCAACGGTCTGAAGCAGTTCTCCGCCAACAAGCCGCTTCTGGTTCCAAGCGACGCCAAGGGTCTGAAGTTCCGCGTGCAAACGTCCGACGTGGCGGTCGCCATGATCGAAGCCATGGGTGCAAATGCGCAGAAACTGGCCTTCAAGGAAGTCTACGGCGCGCTGCAGACCGGAGTTGTCGACGGGCAGGAAAACACCTGGTCCAACATCTACACCAAGAAGTTCTTCGAAGTTCAGGACGGCACCACGGAAACCAACCACCAGCTGCTGACCTACCTGGCCGTGACCTCCCAGGAATGGCTGGACAGCCTGGAAGCGGATACCCGTGACCAGTTCCTGACGATCTTCAACGAAGTCTCCGACGAGTACAACGCGCGCGCAGCGGAGATCAACGAAGCCAACAAGCAGAAGATCATCGAAAACAAGGGTGTTGTTCGCCAGCTGACACCTGAGCAGCGTGATGAATGGGTCAACACCATGAAGCCGGTTTGGGACCAGTTCCGCGACGACATCGGTCAGGATGTCATCGACGCGGCCGTCTCTTCAAACAAGGCAAGCTAAGACTTCGTGGTCTGACGGGATGGGCTCGCTTGGCGAGCCCATCTTCTGACGCAATCAATATCAAAATTTCATGCGGCGCGCTTCTGGCGCGCAAGGCCGGTGCGGCAGCGCGCCGGCATTGGGGAGGCTGTCATGTCCCGTGTCGGACGGTTTGTCGATTCCTTGGAGGAAAACATCCTCGCCTTGATTCTGGCGTTGATGACCATCGTAACCTTCAGCCAGGTGGTCGCCCGCTATGGCTTCAATTCAGGCTGGACCGGAGCGCTCGAATTCACCCGTGTCCTGTTCGCCTGGCTGATCCTGTTCGGCATGAGCTACGGCATCAAGATCGGTGCGCATCTCGGGGTTGATGCGGTGATCAACCTGTTGCCGAAACCGATGTTCAGGCTGGCTGCTCTGCTCGGCGCGGCGTTGACGGTACTTTATGCCCTGCTTCTGTTTGACGCGACCTGGTTCGGGGCCTTGTTCGGGCTTGAAAACAAAGGCTCGTCGGGTGGTGCGTTCGCTTATGTCGCAAAGTTCTACAAGTTGCCCATCGGCATGGAAGACCTGAAATGGCCGGTCTTCATTCAGGAATGGTTCGACGTCAAGGAACGTGTTCCGCGCTGGATACCCTACGTCATCCTGCCGGTTGGTCTCCTGTTGCTGGCCTTCCGGGCTGCGCAGGCATTCGTGCTCATCCTCATGGGTAAAAAAGACGCCATCATCGCTGCCCACGAGGCAGAAGACCTGGTGGCGGAAAACAAAGACGTGCTGAAGGACTAGGGCCCGATGGAAACCGCATTTCTCTTCATTTTCCTGTTCGGCTTCCTGTTCCTCGGGGTACCGATCGCCATTTCGCTCGGCCTGTCCGCCGTGCTCTACATTGCGCTCTTCAGCCACGATTCGATGAGTTCGGTTGCCGTGCAGCTGTTCAATGCCTCGCAGAACTTCACGTTGCTGGCGATCCCGTTCTTCATCCTGGCCTCCAGCTTCATGTCGACCGGCGGTGTTGCAAGGCGGATCATTCGCTTTTCGATCGACGCTGTCGGGTGGATTCGCGGAGGCCTAGCCATTGCGGCTGTCTTTGCCTGCATGCTCTTTGCAGCGCTCTCCGGTTCGTCACCGGCCACCGTTGTCGCTATTGGCACAATCGCCATCGCCGGCATGCGTCAGGCCGGCTACACGAAGGAATTTGCTGCCGGCGTCATCGCCAATGCGGGCACGCTCGGCATTTTGATCCCGCCGTCGATTGTGATGGTGGTCTATGCGGCCGCAACGAACGTTTCTGTCGGCAGAATGTTCTTTGCAGGTGTCATTCCCGGTCTCATTGCCGGCCTGATGCTGATGACGGCGATCTACATCATGGCCCGGATAAAAAAATTGCCGGCGCAGCCATGGGCGGGATCCAAGGAGCTTTGGAGCTCATTGTCTCAAGCAGCTGTCGGCCTCTTCCTGATGGTCATCATCCTCGGTGGAATTTATCTGGGTATCTTCACACCGACCGAGGCTGCTGCCGTGGCTGCCGTTTATGCCGGATTGATCGCGCTTTTTGTCTATCGGGACATGGGTCCGCTTTCCGGGATCGGCTGGATCAATGACGGCGACAGTCCGCTTGCCTTGACCGGATTCAAGGCAATTACCTACGCGTTCGTTGCCATGCTCACCTGGTCCGCCATTGCAAAACTTGCGACCGAGCGTGCCTTCTTCGGTCTCGACAGCATCATCGTGCTGATTGCTGCCCTGGTCGCCTACCCGTTGCTCAGGGGCGGTCTTAGCCCTGCTGCGCTGCCGGCTGCCTATGGTGCAGGCGGCAAGGTCTGGGGCCGCAATCTCGGACTCATTGCCTGGAAGTTCTTCCCGGCCATGGTCCACAAGGACACCAAGAAGGTACTGACGGATTCGTCGAAGACGACCATCATGTTGATGTTCATCATCGTCAACGCGCTCCTGTTTGCTCACACACTTACCGCCGAGCAGATACCGCAGGTGATCACTGACTGGATGGTCGAGGCCGGGTTCAACTGGTTCACCTTCCTGCTGGCGGTCAACATCATCCTGCTGATTGGCGGACAGTTCATGGAACCGTCCGGCCTGTTGCTGATCGTGGCTCCGGTCGTCTTTCCGATTGGACTGGAGCTCGGCGTTGATCCGATCCATCTCGGTATCCTGATGGTGGTGAATATGGAAATCGGCATGATCACGCCGCCGATCGGACTGAACCTGTTCGTGACATCAGGGATTACCGGCATGAGTCTGGTTCAGGTGGTAAAGGCAGCCGCGCCCTTTGTGCTGGTGCTTCTGCTGTTCCTCGTCATCGTGACCTATGTTCCGGCGCTTTCGACGTTCCTGCCCTATTACTTCATGGGGCCGGAGATCATCACGCGATAGGATACGGGGCACCAAAACGCACAGACGGCCGGGCGGTGTCCGGCCGTTTCTGTTTTTGATCATCGAGATGCTCTGGTTGACAGACGGGAATTGCCGTTCATTCTTTTCGGCATGACAGGAGCCTCCGATGACGAACGACAGCGACCCCTTTTCCGGTTTTTCCGATATCGTGACCCGCGCCGAGGACCTTGAGGAAATCACGGGCGAACCGCTGCCGCAGATCATTCACAAGGAGATTCCCGCGCTGGACTCCATCTGCCGGGACTTCATTTCACACGCGCCGTTCTGCTTTCTTGCGACGGCAAATCCGGATGGATATCTCGATGTGTCCCCGAGAGGTGATCCCGCCGGATTTGTGAAGGTCCTTGATGAAACCACGCTGGCGATCCCCGACAGGCCCGGAAACAGGCGTTTGGATACGTTCCACAATGTCCTGAAGGACCCGAGGGTCGGCGTTCTATTCATGATACCGGGCAGAGGTGAAACGCTTCGAATTCGCGGGGAAGCAAGGATCGTCAGGGACCGCGATCTGATTGCGTCGATGGCAATCAACGGGCGCGAACCGAAGCTCGCACTGGTGATTCATGTCAAGAGCGCCTTCATGCACTGCCCCAAATGCGTTTTCCGGTCAAACATCTGGCAGCCGGAAAAGTGGCCGGACACGACCGGACTGGCTGACATGAACGAAGCCATGGTCAAGCATGCCAGGATCGCCATGAATCCCGACGAATGGTTTGAATCTCTCAAGCAGAAGGGTGAACTCGAGCTCTGGTAGAATACCGGAGCACTTGGTCCATCAAGGCGTACGACAAAAAAAGCCGGCCCAACGGACCGGCTTGGGATTGGGTTTTCCCCCAAATATCAGACGATGCTGCCGAGCTTCATCGCGACACTCATGTCGCCTTCGACCTGCATCTTGCCACCCATGAAAGCGCTTGTCGGGTTCAACTCGCCCGACAGGAGATCGGCGAGATCTTCCGCAGAAATCTTGATCGTGCAATCGGCATCACCATCATCATTGCTGACATCCGAGCCCTGAAGAAAAATGACGCCGTCACCGCCCATGTCGAACTTGACGCTTTCTTCAATTCCACCGCTGGCGACTTTTTCGCGGACACCTTCCGTGAGCTGTTCCAAGGACATGAGTTGTCTCCTATCTGAATCTGGCAGCTGTCGTTCGTTGCCTTCTTGATGTATGACCTTTACGTAATCGTCAAGTGGCAAATTTCACTTGCCCCGTCAGGCGGCAATAGGCGTTGCCAACCGGCGCTCTGGTCGTCCGGGTCAAGAAACACTCTCTAGTGATTGTCCCTTGGCAACCCTCGTGTGTGAGCAACGTCCTGGTACTTGACCGCCGGTTCCAGCACCATGCCCTTGTCGAACTGGCCAACCATGCCGCGCTGGATCTCCTGCCACGGCGTTTGGCTGTCGGCAACCTGGAAACCGCCCGATGCCTCAAGGTCCTTGCGGCGCTGTGCCAGCTCCTCGTCCGAAATCAGGATATCGGCGGTTCCCTTGTTGAGGTCGATGCGCACCCGGTCACCGGTCTTGAGCAATGCAAGACCACCCATCGCCGCCGCTTCGGGCGACGCATTCAGGATGGACGGTGATCCGGACGTGCCGGACTGGCGGCCGTCGCCAATGCAGGGAAGCTCCGTGATGCCACGCTTGATCAGGGCTGCAGGTGGCTGCATGTTGACGACCTCCGCCCCACCGGGATAGCCGACCGGTCCGGTGCCGCGAATGAAGAGCATGCAGTTCTCGTCGATCTCCAGGTCCGGATCGTCAAGCCTGTGGTGATAGTCCTCCGGCCCTTCAAAGACGATGGCGCGACCCTCGAAGGCTTCAGGATCATCCGGATTGGAAAGATAGCGGCTCCGGAATTCCTTGGAAATCACGCTGGTCTTCATTATGGCACTGTCGAACAGATTGCCCTTGAGATTGATGAACCCGGCCCGGTCCATCATCGGGGCATCGAATGATTTGATCACGTCGGGAAGGTCGGTGACGATGCCCTCACAGTTCTCGGCGATTGTTTTGCCGTTCGCGGTGACCGCATCGGGATGGGGAAGCCTGCCGTGGCGCAGCAACTCGGCAACGACAGCCGGTACGCCGCCTGCATGAAAATAGTCTTCGCCGAGATACTCACCGGCTGGCTGCAGGTTGACCAGAAGCGGCACATCGTGACCAACTTTCTGCCAGTCGTCATTGTCCAGTTCGACACCGACATGGCGGGCAACACCGTTCAGGTGGATCGGGGCATTGGTGGATCCGCCGATCGCCGAGTTGATCACAATGGCGTTTTCAAACGCTTCCCGTGTCATGATATCTGAGGGTTTCTGGTCCTCGTGAACCATGTCGACGATGCGTTTGCCGGTTTCGTATGAAATCGCGCCGCGTTCGCGGTAGGGCGCGGGTATCGCGGCGGCTCCTGGCAATTGCATGCCGAGCGCTTCCGCAAGAGAATTCATTGTCGTTGCGGTGCCCATCGTGTTGCAGTAGCCCACCGAAGGAGCCGCTGAAGCGACAAGGTCCATGAACCCGGCATAGTCGATTTCCCCGGCTGCCATCATCTGGCGGGCTTTCCAGACGATTGTGCCTGACCCTGTCCGCTCGCCCTTGTACCAGCCGTTCAGCATCGGACCGACGGAAAGTGCGATTGCCGGGACGTTCACGGTCGCTGCCGCCATCAGGCAGGCCGGTGTGGTCTTGTCGCAGCCGATTGTCAGAACGACGCCGTCAATCGGATAGCCATAAAGAAGTTCAACCAGGCCCAGATAGGCCAGATTCCGGTCGAGCGCCGCCGTTGGACGCTTGCCCGTTTCCTGAATCGGATGAACGGGAAATTCGAAAGCAATGCCGCCTTGGTCGCGGATGCCTTCCCGGACCCGCTTTGCCAGTTCCAGGTGGTGTCGGTTGCAGGGCGAGAGGTCCGACCCGGTCTGGGCGATGCCGATGATCGGCTTGCCGGATTGCAGTTCTTCCCGGGTAATGCCGAAATTGAGGTAACGCTCGATGTAAAGCGCTGTCATACCGGGATTATCCGGATTGTCGAACCACGCCGCTGACCGCAGCTTCGGCTGTTTCTTGTCGCTCATCGCGCCTCTTCCCTCAATCTTTTCAAGATATAAGGCAGGATAAACACCACGCTTCGGGCGCTGTAAAGGCAATGTCTGTTCAATATGGTCTCATCATATGAGACTCTTTGGTTCAAAGCCGGCCGATTTGGCGACCTCCAATGCCGACACGCGCAAAGCCCAGGAGGATTACCAGACAAACACCAAACAGCAGCGGGGTCGCGTGGACCGGCACCACGGTTGACGCTCCGCACAGGCCGCCAAGCACCCAAAGTCCAACAATCAGTTTTCTGGCGCGACCTGCGAGCACCTCTCTGCGCATCGCGAGGGCCTTGAGCGCGGGAAACGCCCCGATTTCGTCTGTATTGCTGACGGCAATCGGATTCGGTTCGTCGGGCGAATTCGGGGCCTTTGATGTGCGGGCGTAGAGCTCCAGAGAGCTTCGGTCCTGCGACAGGGTCAGAAACAGCGATGTGCCGTTGCCGGAAACCAGTGCGGAAGCTGCCTGGGCCGTTGTCGCGGTCTGCGTTTCATCCGGACATTCAAGCCCGAGCATATCAGCAAGTGCCATGCGCGTTTTGGAGCCGTCATTGGTGAAGAGCCAGGGTGTCAAACCTTCGGCACGCATGGCCATCCCGGCGGCACCTGCATCTTGCCTGAGGGTGCCTTCAAGCCCGAGGACACCGACCACACGCCCGCCGACCGCGACCCGCAAAACGGTTTTGCCATCTGCCTCGAGCGACCTTGCAATGGCATCGGCCGTAAAACTGTCGATCTTGAGCTGCTTCAATAGTTCCGTCGTGCCAATCACGACAGTCTGGCCGCCAAGGAGGGCAACCACGCCAATTCCGTGTGTCGGTTCGAAACGGTCGGGTGTCTTCAGAGGCACGCGCCACTGGCTAGCGAGTTGACGCAAGGCCAAGGCAACCGGATGGCTTGATTGCGCCTCTGCGGAAGCCGCGACTGCAAGCAGGGTTCTTGGCTCGTTGTCGAATGCCATCACATTGGTCACCATCAGGTCCGGTCCCGACATCAGGGCTGTTTTGTCGATGACAATGTCGCCGGCGCGGCCGATTGCGGTAAGAGCGGCTGGAGCCAGATCTCGTGCACCGGCGGCAAGCGCACCCTTTTGGAAAACCTTGTCAGCAAAGGCATTGATGCCGTCGACCAGAAATGGCCACGAGAGCAGCAGGGCTGCCGAGACTGCGACCGGAAACCGAAGTGGATCAAATGCGAGCCAGAGGCCACCGGCGCCGACCGACAGCACGATCGAACCAACCGCTGTTGATTTGCGCTGAGAACTGACCCGGTAGCCCCATAAATTTTCACTGAGAACTGACCCATGTAACGACGCTACCCTGACGCTTTTGTTTGGGGGAGATATGGAGTGATCGACATGGGATTTTTAAGTGTCATTCGACGTTGGGCATTACGTGAAGGGATGCCCATTCGCGAGATAGCCCGCCGTACTGGTTTGTCTCGCAATACCATCAAGAAGTACCTGCGAGAGGGCGCTGTTGAGCCGAAGTTCAAGGTGCCCAAACGACCGAGTAATCTTGATCCGTATGCGGATCGTTTGTCTGCATGGTTGTTGGCTCAGACACGCAAATCGCGCAAAGAGCGGCGTACTGTGAAGCAGATGCACGCCGATTTGGTGAAGTTGGGCTATGCAGGATCCTATGCGCGCGTGGCCGCTTTTGCCCGTGCCTGGCGTGACGACCGGCATCGTGCCGAGCAAACAACTGGGCGCGGCACGTTTGTACCGCTGGTGTTCCAACCCGGCGAAGCGTTCCAGTTTGATTGGAGCGAAGACTGGGCCACTATCGGCGGTGAACGGGTCAAGCTGCAGGCGGCCCATACGAAGCTCTCGCACAGCCGAGCTTTCTTAGTGCGCGCCTACCCATTGCAAACGCATGAGATGCTGTTCGATGCCCATTGGCATGCGTTCCGCGTTTTTGGCGGTGTGCCTGGACGCGGGATCTATGATAACATGAAAACTGCTGTTGATCGCGTTGGCCGTGGCAAGCAGCGTGACATCAACGCCCGGTTTAAGGCGATGGCCAGTCACTATGTTTTTGAACCCGAGTTCTGCAATCCAGCGGCAGGTTGGGAGAAGGGCCAAGTCGAGAAGAACGTCCAAGATGCGCGCAATCGCATGTGGCAGGTCATGCCTGTCTTCAAGGATCTTGATGAGCTGAACCAGTGGCTGGAAGACCGCTGCATCGCCCTTTGGATTGAGACACCGCACCGGGATCTGCCCGGCACTATTGCTGACATCTGGGAAGCAGAGAAGCCCATGTTGATGGCACTACCACCCGCCTTCGACGGTTTTGTGGAGCACAGTAAGCGTGTGTCGCCAACATGTCTGATCACCTTTGAGCGTAATCGCTACAGCGTGCCCGCGAGCTTTGCCAACCGGCGCATCAGCTTGCATGTCTATCCAGAACGGCTGGTCATAGTGGCCGAGGGGAAGACCGTTTGCACACATGAGCGCATCATAGATCGATCACACCGCAAACCTGGTCGTGTTATCTACGACTGGTGCCACTATCTCGCTGTAATCCAACGTAAACCCGGTGCCTTGCGCAACGGAGCACCGTTCATTGAGATGCCAGAGGCCTTCCGCAACTTGCAAGGTCACATGCACCGCAGAGAAGGTGGTGACCGCGAGATGGTCGATATCCTGTCATTGGTTTTGCACCATGATGAGAATGCCGTTCTGTGTGCCGTAGAATTGGCGTTGGAGGCTGGCGTGCCAACCAAAACCCACATTCTGAACTTGTTGCACCGGCTGATAGACGGAACGCACACTGATCTCCCAGAGGTCGATCCACCTGATGCACTCGCATTGGAAACAGCGCCAAAGGCAAACGTGGACCGCTATGATGATCTGAGACAGGCTGGGGGCAAGTACCATGCGTCATGACCCAGCAGGAGCCTCAATCGTGATCATGCTGCGCAGTCTCAAGCTCTATGGCATGGCAAACGCCGTAGAAGATTTGGTCGCCCAAGGCGGGCCTTCTTTTGAGGCCGCAACACCTATGTTGTCCCAACTGCTCAAAGCGGAGATTGCCGAAAGGGAAGTGCGCTCAATCACATACCAGACAAAGGTGGCCCGCTTTCCGTCATACAAGGACCTCGCAGGCTTTGAGTTCAAATCTAGTGACATCAATGAAGCGACCGTCAAGCAACTGCATCGGTGCGAGTTCATGGAGAACGCTGAGAACGTCGTGCTCATCGGCGGGCCTGGAACGGGCAAAAGCCATGTCGCGACCGCCATCGGTGTTCAGGCCATTGAACATCACAGGTGCAAGGTCCGCTTCTACTCAACCGTCGAACTGGTCAACGCGCTAGAACAGGAAAAGGCGCTCGGCAAGACCGGAAAGATGGCAGAGATGATGACCAAAATTGACCTCGTGATTTTGGATGAACTTGGCTACTTGCCGTTCAGTCCATCCGGCGGCGCACTACTGTTCTATCTACTGAGCAAACTCTACGAGCGGACCAGCGTCATCATAACCACCAACCTCAGCTTCTCAGAATGGGCCCAGGTCTTTGGAGATGCAAAGATGACAACCGCGCTTCTGGATCGCCTCACACACCGCTGCCACATCCTGGAAACTGGAAACGACAGCTACCGCTTCAAAGCCAGCTCAGAGGCTGCAAAGAAAAAACGAAAGGACAAGCCAACATTGACCAACACGTAACCGCTGATACATAAACAAAGGTGGGTCAAATCTCGGTGAAAATACCGGGTCAGTTCTCAGCGCAAATCAACAGTCGATCTTCTCATCGCAGAAACCGCCGAGGTTGAACGGAGAACCTTCACCGGCTTCGGTGCGGCAGTTCATCAGGTTCGACAACACGTTCCAGCTGTCGAGCGAACCCGGGGTCCAGCCAAGCAGATAGAACGACGTGTCGAAGCCACCGGACGCAAGAACCTTGGCAAAATACTTTGCTTTCGGCTGTGCGTTCAGATCGATCTTGATGTTGACGCGTGCCAGCATGGCGGCTACCGCCTGGCAGATGGCCTCGTCATTGACGTAGCGGTCGTTCGGGCAGTCCATACCAACGGTGAAACCATCCGCATAACCGGCTTCGGATAGCAGCTTCTTCGCATTTTCCGGATCGTATGGATAGCGCTCGAATTCAGATGACTTGGAAAACAGGAATGGCGAAATCATGATCGCGGACGGCGTTGCCAGATCCCGCATGACCTTGTTCTTGATCGCCTCGATGTCGATCGCCTGGTAGAACGCCTTGCGGACTTTCTCGTCTTTGAACGGGTTCTTGCCCTTCACGTCCGAATAGAGCAGTTCGTCGCGCGTCTGGTCCATGCCAAGGAAGATCGTGCGCAGCTCTGGTCCGGTCAGCGCAACGGTTCCGGCATTGTCGTTGATGCGTTTGATGTCCTGAACCGGGATCGGATAGACCATATCCAGTTCACCCGACAGCAACGCAGCAACACGAGTTGCGTCGGACGGGATCGGTGTGAATTCGACGGTGTCGACGTTGTGCTTGATCTCGTCCCACCAACCGTCGTTTTTCTCATAGACCGTCTTTACGCCTGCCTCATGGCTGACAATCTTGAACGGACCGGTGCCGTTCGCATTCAAGGACGAATAATTCGGCGTGGTGTCGGATGCGGACGTGACCTTGACCGCGTCGTTCTCGGTCGTCCACTCCTTGTCCATGATGTAGAACGTGTCCCACTCATAGTTCAGGATCGGGTTCGGGCCGGTCAGCACGAAGTCGACCGTGTGGTCGTCGACGATTTCCACCTTGGCGTCGGCAGGGACGCGTGTTGTCAGGTCGGACCCTTCCGAGCGGACCCGGTCGACTGAAAAGGCGACATCTTCAGCGGTAAAATCGTTGCCGTTGTGGAACTTGACGCCTTTGCGCAGATAAAAACGCCAGCGGTTCGGTTCGATGATTTCCCAACGTTCAGCCAGCGCAGGCTCGATGGCGAGATCCGCCCCACGACGCGTCAGCCCCTCATAGGCATTGCCGAGCGACGACAGGGTGAAGGTTTCGTTGAGGCTGTAGGGATCGAGGCCGTTCAAACTGCCCTGGAAGGCAAACTTGAAGGTTTCTGCCTGTGCAGCAGCCCCTGTCCCCGCGGCCAGCAGCGCGGTAAAAATCAAAGTCTTCTTGTTCATTTTCCCCTCGTTTTCCCGTTTCCGGAATGCTTTTTTTACTTTCTCCGTACCCCCTCAACAAGGGTAGGACCGTTCGTCGATTGCGAACTATGACATTGTAACCGTCGGTGTTCAAACCCGGTCAGAATTGTTTTTGGGATAATCCGGCAAGCAACTGGTCCAAAAACGTCGCACACCGGTCCAATTCCACAAGTTCGATATATTCGTCCGCCTGATGAGCCTGGTCGATCGAGCCCGGACCACAGACGACTGTCGATAGTCCGTGGTTCTGAAAAATTCCGCCCTCGGTCGCATAGACAACCACGTGACGCCCATTGTCCCCCGTCAGGCGCCGGACTTCGGTTTCCGCACGGCCATCCGGCTCCTCCGAAAGGCCGGGAACATAGGCCAGATGCTCGACGTCGATCGAACAGTCCGCCGAAATCTCCAGCATGTCCGGCAGAACATGATTTTCAATGTAAGTCTGGTAGGCGTCGATCCAGGCCTTTGCACTGTCGCCCGGCAGCAGCCGGATATCGGTGGCAAATTCGCAATGCTGTGCCGTAATATTGTGTGCTTGCCCGCCTTTGATCACTCCGCTGTGCAGCGTCGTGTAAGGCGGTTCGAATGGACAATCGGGATCGGCCGCGGCCTTGTTTTCGGCGGTTCGGGTGTCGAGCCATGTGATCAGTTTGGCAGCCGCTGAAATTGCTGAAACACCCCGGTGCAACTGGCTGGAATGCACCGGGTGCCCCCGAATTCTGGTTTTGAAGACTGCTATTCCCTTATGTCCGGTCACCACTTTCATATTGGTTGGTTCGCCGACAATGGCGAAAGACGGTTGCGGTTCTTTCGCCAGCAGATCACTGACGAGTGGTGCGGCACCGAAGCAGCCGATTTCCTCGTCGTAGGAAAGAGCAATGTGGATGGGTTTTTCAAGATCGGTGGCCAGAAAATCCGGAACCTTGGAAAGTGCGGTCGCCGCAAATCCCTTCATGTCGGCAGATCCGCGCCCGTAGAGTCTGCCTTCAGATTCCCAGGCGGTGAAGGGATCCCGAGACCAGTTTTGGCCTGCAACCGGCACCACATCCGTATGTGCGGACAAAACAACGCCACCTTCGACTGCAGGCCCGATCCGCGCATGGAGCGCAGCCTTTGTTCCGGTCTCGTCGGGCACGCGCGTTGACGCAATGCCATGCTCGCCAAGATAATCTTCAACAAACGAAATGAGGTCGAGGTTGCTGCGGTCTGAAACGGTGTTGAAGGAGATGAGTTTCTCCAGCATTTCCCGTGGCGTATAACGGGTATTCACAAAGGCTCCAGTGCTCGTTTCAGGCGAAGGCAGTCACTCAACCTTCGGGAATTTTGACAGTATCTAAGCTGTTCACGGCGAAGATTTGCAAGGGAATTTCTTTACCTCTGACATTGATTTCAGCGTTTTCTGCTTCAAGGATTTCCGCTTCAGCGGCATCTATGACCGCTTTCGAAACAACGAGAAAACTGCCATGCGTCTTGTTTTCGGTTTCAAGCCGGCTTGCCGTGTTGACGACGTCCCCAAGGGCAGTGAGTCCTCCGCTTGCTCCGGCAACTCCGATTCTGCCCAGAATAGCAGGACCCAGATGCAAACCGATTCCCAGCCGGATAGGGTCACTGAATTGCGGGCCTTTTTCAGTCTCGAGCGATTGCATCACCGCCTCAATTCGCTTTGCGGCACGCAACGCCTGCCGAGCGCCCTGTCCCGGATTGTTGTCCATCCCGAATATCGCCATGATGCCGTCGCCGATGAACTTGTCGACAAATCCTCCCTCTGACCGGATCGCGCCGGAAGCCTGATCGAGATAACTGTTCAGGAGGTGGACCACATCATAAGCAAGCTGGGATTCAGTAATTCGGGTGAAGTTTCTGAGATCGACGAACATGACGACGACTTCCTGCTCGACACCCCAGTAGTAGGCATCCTTGAGGTTCTCGCTGGTCTCGGAAGTCACCTTGACCGGAACGAGCGGCTGCACGCCGAGGTTCTGCAAGGGTCTGATCTGGCAGGCAAGCCTGACCCCCTCATCCGCAGAAATCCGCGTGAGAACAGCCTTCTCGGCAGCTTCCGGCGGGGCGAGTGTTTCTTCTCCCTCGAACACCTTGACGCGGCAGGTGGAGCACCGCGCCCGCCCGCCGCAGACCGAGGCGATGGGCACATCGTTGATCCGGCTGATCTCAAGCAGTGTTGCGCCGGGTTTCGCACGGACCGCGAGGCTACCCGGATACGTGATTGTCAGTCGTCTCGCGCTCAGGCCGATCAGATAGCGGAACAGGATGACCAGCAGGCTGCATGCGATCAGGCCAAAGACCACGGCCCGTCCTTCGATGACGAAAGTTGTCAGCCAGTCGAACTGGGCTTCCGAGACCTTCACCTTTACGTCCTTGGCAAGTTCGAGCCGGCGTGCCCCTTCGATAAAGCCCCATAAAGCGAGCACAGGCATCGCGACCGCGAAGGCAAGAGCGACAAATCTGAGGCGGTAGTACAAAGGGTAAAGCCTCAGCCAGAAGTGCAGTCCGATCATCGAATGCGACCAGACGACGAGCAGAAGAAGTGACTGGGTGACGCCGTGTTCGGGCCAGAGAATGGTCAGCATCTGATGGTAGGTCGGCGCGAAGCCGAAGTTGTTGGCCAACCCCATGGTCGTGCCGACGTGCGGAATAAGGCTCCAGGGGATATAGAACCCAAACACCAGCTGAATGAACTCCCACCGGGGCATCTTGAGCGTGCGTCTCCTGGCGGTGCGCCAGAGCGCAAGCAGCACATGCGTCATTGCGGCGACAAGAAGCAGACTTTCGCCAAACGGGTTGCGCCAGAACTTGTAGTGCCAGATGGATGCCTTCTCCATGGCATCGACGGATATGACACCGAGCGCATGGTTCGAGAAATGACTCAGGCAGAAAACGAACAGGATAAGGCCGCTCCACAGACGAAGGCGCTGTCGCCAGTTCCCCCACGAAGGCGTGGATCTGATTTGACGAGGGGACGGGACTGTCTTGACCGGAAGAGACGGTGATCCAGACGCAGTCATTCGGGTCTCCGGCATTCTTGTGCGCGACGGTGATGGTGCCATAGGCGATCTTGAGAATCTGTGACCCGAGAATGCAGCCGGGTCAAGCCGAGCGGGGGAAAGTCGGTTCCGGGACTTGAAACCATTGCCTCAAATCGTAACTTTCCTGCCAGCAATCCGGTCGGGAAGGGAATCTCATGAAAGTCTACGGCATCAAGAACTGCGACACGGTCAAGAAAGCCCGGAAATTTCTTGAAGAGGTCGGGGTCGATTACGAATTCCACGACTATAAAAAGGACGGCGTGAATGGTGACAAACTGGCGGAATTCGTTAGCGAATTCGGTTGGGACACTGTTCTCAACAAGCGTGGTACGACCTGGCGGAAACTTGATGAAGCGACCAGGGATGCCGTGACCGATGCCGACAGTGCCGTGGCAGTCATGATCGAGAATCCGTCGGCCATCAAGCGCCCGATCGTGGAAGGAGCCCGCAAGAATTTTATCGGCTTTGATCCGGTTTCCTGGGAAATGGCCCTGGAAATGGGAGAGTTGAAATAGGCACACCTCCGGGCACAGGCCGATTGCAGATCGTCGCCCGGACTTTCAGCCGGGCTACCAGGTCCGGCGTGGACCTGTATCGATGTGAAAGTGGCCGGAAGAGTAGTGTTTGTAGCCACCAACCTCCGGCTGGGCCTTAAGGTAGGCGATCACGGAGGAGGGGTCGGCGCTGACTGAAAAGTCCACAGCCTTGCAGTTCAGGTGATAGGATTTGCGTGCTCCGCCCTTCCGCCAGTTTTCCAGCCACCAGCGTTTGGTGGAGTGAACGGTAACCTTGCCGTAGCGGTCTGCGACCCGGTTGAGGACCTTTTTGAGCTGGCGCGGAACGCACCACGATGAATCGTCGTATTCGATTGAATTATGGGATGCGGTTGCCCATCCCATGCCGGTGACCCCTGCAACTGTGCCGCAGCCGGCAAGAGTGACGGTAAATCCGATAAAGAATATCCAGGCGAAGAGGCGCTGACGCATGACGGGCGGGCCTTGTCGAAAGTGTTGCGATGTCCCCCACGTGAATGTTCCTGCAATTTGATTAAAATTGTGATGAAAAACATGGTTAACGCGACTAAGAAACAAATGTTTCAGATTGGGCTATCATCTGATACATTTGTTGCAAACATAACCCGATCGCATACCGATCACTGTCCGGATCAGTCGCCATGTCGCATGTATTCCCTCGTCATACCAAAGCCAATCCACCCGTCGCAGCATCGGGAGATGGATGCTATATTATTGATAAAAATGGGAAAAAATATTTCGACGGATCAGGTGGCGCCGCTGTCTCCTGCCTTGGGCATTCCGATCCGGACGTTACACAGGCAATCAAGGATCAGGTGGACAGAATCGCCTTCGCACATACCGGATTTTTCACGACGGAACCGGCGGAAGAGCTCGCGGATCTGCTCGTGGCAAGGGCTCCGGGAAACCTTGACCGTGTCTATTTCGTTTCGGGAGGGTCCGAAGCCGTTGAAGCGGCGCTCAAGCTCGCCCGTCAGTACTTTCTTGAAAAAGGCGAACCTTCCCGTCACCGGGTGATTGCGCGGCGTCAAAGCTACCACGGCAATACGCTTGGCGCGCTGGCAACAGGCGGCAACCAGTGGCGACGTGAGCCATTTTCGCCGCTGATGATCGAAACGTCCCATATCTCTCCATGTTTCGAATATCGCGGTCGCAGGGAAGCTGAAACCGCTTTTGAATATGGCCAGAGGGTCGCCGGTGAACTGGAGACGGAAATTCTTCGGCTGGGACCTGAAAACGTGATGGCCTTTGTCGCCGAACCGGTCGTCGGTGCCACGGCAGGAGCGGTGCCTCCCGTTGAGGGATATTTCAAGCGCATTCGAGAAATCTGCGACACCTATGGCGTCCTGCTGATCCTCGACGAGGTGATGTGCGGCATGGGCCGTACCGGAACGCTGTTCGCTCACGAGCAGGACGGCGTTTCGCCAGACATTCTGTGTGTTGCCAAGGGGCTCGGCGCCGGATACCAGCCCATCGGTGCCATGCTGTGCACCGATGAAATCTACCGGTCGATCGAAGACGGGACCGGCTTCTTTCAGCACGGTCATACCTATATCGGTCATCCGACAGCCTGTGCGGCCGCCTTGACGGTATTCAAGAAACTCGACGGAGGTCTTGTCGAGAGAGTTTCGCCGATGGGTGACAAGCTCGAACAGGAACTGAACGATGCCTTCGGGCAGCATCCTCATGTTGGCGACATTCGTGGTCGCGGGCTGTTCCGCGGTATTGAAATTGTCGAGGACAGAAGCACCAAGACCCCGTTCGACCCCGCGCGGGGGATCAACAAGTCCGTGAAGAACGCGGCTTTCGACGCCGGTCTGATCTGTTATCCGATGGGTGGGACGGTTGATGGTGTCCGCGGCGATCATGTTTTACTGGCGCCGCCTTTCATAATTGAAGACAGCCACGTCACGGAAATCGTCGACAAGCTGGATCGTGCCTTCAGGTCCGTTTTCTGACCCTGTGCGGAAATATTGCGAACAGGTATTCCGAATATTAATATTGCATAATATTACGTAAAGTTAAGTTGAATGAACGTCGCTGAGCACCATTTCTGAAGAAGCAAAGCTTAGGAGGTGAAGGTGATAGATAATTCAACAGAAAACGGCGAGAGAATTACTGCAGATCAAATTGATACAACCTTCCTGAATCGGTTTGCAGCGGGTTTCGTCGCCATGATGAACAATATGTACGACGTTGCAAAACAACGTTTGCCGCAGAGTAGCGGAGATGAAGAAGCCAAACTCGAAACGTCGTCGAAAAAGCGGTCCGCCTATCAGGGTTTGGCAGACGACCGGCCCGTGGAGTTTGACGAAGGATACGGTTCCGGAGGTTACCGCGGTTCGGAACGGTTTCACCACTTGTATCACTAGCGCTCATCGATTGAGTGTTGGATTCGGCCGGCGCGCTTTCTTCTGCTGACCAGGCGGCTTGTGTGCAACGGTGTACCCCACCACAAGCGCAATCCAACGCAGTCAGCGGGAGAAAGAGCCCGGCCCTTCGGGTGCCGGAAAGCAACGCATCGGCAGCGTTGCGCCACTTGACCGATGCACCGCATCGCCCTTCGTGACGCGCCTTGCCGAGTGACCTGCTTTCCGGCATCAAACGAACGAACATTCAATGGACGCGCTCCCGGATCGCGTCGGCACCAAAAGTGTCGGCCCGAGCGTTCGAAGCTGAGCAATTTCAAAAACGCGGCACCATGATATCTCGTTTTGGGCTCGTTAGTCGTCCGAACCGATCAGGACCGCTTCAGGGCAATGCAGGCCGTCCCTGCCGAGTTCCGAAACGACCCAGTCCTGGAACAGGCGAACTTTGCGGCTGTTCTTGTTTCGCGGCGGATAACTCAGCGCCCAGGATTCATCATCCGCTGCACATACAAGGTCAAAAGGCTGAATGAGCTGACCTTGCTGCAAGGCCTGCCTGCAAAAATAAGGCGTTAGAATTGCAACACCCTGTCCCGCGATGGCCCTGTTGGCCTCAAGTGCCTGGGAACCCATGCGCGATGTCGGCCATTTCGTCAGATCGGCATCAGGAAGTCCTGCCGCACTGAACCAGGTGCGCCACCAGGGGTCGTCCGGGTCGATTATCGGAAGCTTGAGTAAATCCGCGGGCGTATTTATGCCGCCAATGCCCTGTGCAAGCTGAGGTGCAACCAGTGGTGTGAATTCAGCGGCGATCAGCGGAATGAACAAATTGCCCTTCGGAGGAGGGTAACAAGCGGAAATCGTCACGTCCGCCTGGTCGAACTTGGGCTTCTCCCAGGGGCCGTAGGAAACCAGCCGCACGGCAATGTCGGGGTTTTGCATCTGAAAGGAAAACATGCGGGATGCAAGCCAGTTCACGGCAAAGGTCGTGTTGCTCGAAACGACCAGTTCGCTCGCGTCTGCATCCTGCACGTCCTGGAAAGTCTGCCGCAATCGAGAGAAGGCCTCGACGACTCCCTCGGCAAGAAGGGCTCCCTTTTGTGTCAGATCGATCTTGCGTGTTTTCCGTTCAAAGACCGCAAAACCGAGTTTCTCCTCCAGCAGCTTGATCTGGTAACTGACGGCCGCTTGTGTCAGTCCAAGCTCGTCCCCGGCTTTCGTGAAACTCAGGTGCCGGCTCGCTGCTTCAAAGGCACGGATCGCGGAAAGAGGTGGGAGGTTGAGCGTCATGCATAAATTTCCCTTATGCATAGATGACAAGATTTCGTTGGTCAGACGGGTTCCGGAAGCCGATATGTAACTCACAGATATGTGGAGTTACAACAATGTCAGATCAAATTTGTTGCACACAAGACGTTGGCGCCCGCAAGAGAGAAAGGAATTTCTCCCTAGTTAAGCTTATTCAAACTTTGGTGGGTTCGCTGCGAACGAACAAACGCCGCCGGGTTAATCTGACCGATTTGCCACCTGAGTTGATGAAGGACATCGGTTTCGAGGTGCCACCGCGGGGTGACAAATCGCTGGAGCAGCACTGGCTTACCGAACTCGACCGCCTGTCGCGGTAGTATCTGGTGATCGAATCCGTTTGCTGGCCTCGCAGATGACCGGTTCACTCATCGTAAAACTGGATTTCCATTTCACAGGCGGCATCGCGCAAAGGAATCAGGTCCCGATAGGCACTTGAGTTGTAAAACCGCAGGGCATTTTCCAGATCCGGATATCGGAATACGGCGGTAACATGCCGGATTTTCTCATTGCCACGCAGCGTCGTCCTGTAAGTGCCCCGCACCACGGTCTCAATGTTGTGGTTGTGCATGAGTTCGGCAGCCTTTCGCAC